TGCTGCCACAGTGGTTTTCTGTTTGTTTCATTAAGATGCAATCTTTTATTGAAACCATTGACCTCAATTTCCTTATTTTTCCCTTTCAAATACTGAACGCCAAGGTTATTGTGTAGCTAAACCAGTTCATCAGGAAAACCACAAGTTTACTACTACTAATATTTGAAATATCATTGCAGATATTCTTTCTGCCCATGCACATCTAATTTAAAAAGCAGGAAAGTACACTTAAGTCAGATGTGGGCAGAACAGTACGTGATGGTCTTTTCTGTGATCCCATTGAGATCCAGGGTGTATACTGTTGAACAGAGGCAGAGTAAGTAGAACACATGTGCTATTGCTGATCCATGCAGTAGGTGGGAGGTGTTCTGACCGGCTGTAAGAAGCTATGGATGTTCCCTTGAGCATGCTGCCTGGTGTCTGTTCCTTGTGCCTTGGGATTCATGCTCTCTGAAGACTTCCTTGGCAGTCTGGTCCTCCAGTTGTCCCCGGGAGCCCCACAGCAGTCCATTCCTTCCCCATGGAGGGAATGGAAATGTTCCCTCCATTCTGCTCCTAGTTCTTGTCTCTTGCAGACAGTGTCTTATACTCATTCATATCAGTCCACTCCCTTTTTTCGATTAGAATGGTGAATCTGTGCAAGAGTCCTGCATGTCTTTATTACTGAGACATTGGTGACCATCGTGTTTCAAGGCAAAGGTCACAGGCTGTAGACTGGATAAATCATTCAGTGGGCTGGGTTTTTTCCATTTTTTACCTTCTCTTCTTTCAGTAGTATCCTGCCCATTTGTTTCTCCAAGCTTCTTCCTCGTCGGGTCCTTTCCAGCATGGATGATCTTGATTTCATGTATTTTTGGTTCTGGTTTTCATAGAATCATGGAATGGTTTGGGTTGGAAGAGACCTTTAAGATCACCTGGTTTCAATCCCCTGCTATAGGCAGGGGCACCTCCCATTAGACCAGGTTGCTCAAAGCCCCCTCCAGCGTGGCATTGAACACCTCCAGGGTGGAGGCTTCCACAGCCTCCCTGGGCAACCTGTTCCAGTGTGCTACCACCCTCACAGTAAAGAATTTCTTCCTAATATCTAGTCTAAATCTACCCTCTTCCAGCTTAAAGCCATTTCCCCTTGTCCTGTTTCAGTGAGTTTTGCTTCGTTTTTCAACAAAGAATTGAAATTTGGCTTTCTATTTCTATTGGCAGTCTGTTTTATAATTGCCATTTGAAAGCTGGAACAGAGAACAGAGATTTCTACTGAAATTAATACATTGTGTTTCAGCAGATAAACACGGAGATTCTTTGCCCTTACTCTGCAAATTTTCCCAATTTCAGCAAGGGGTTACCTTTATCCAGGTAGAGCACTGGCTCCTGCTGTAACACAGCTTGTTTCTCAGTTCTTACTGAGTAGGTTGCTGGCATACAAGTCCCAGATGGCCAGTCACAGGAGAAAGACTTTTCAGGGAATTGTGTGTTTCAAGAGTAGAGTGGGAGTAGATTGAGTTTAATTTTATCCTCTCTGGTTCCCTTCCTTTTAGGACCTCCACTAAAAATTGTACTCACCAAAGGACACTATTTTGGGCATTCCTAAACGTCAGGTATTTCTGGCCACTAGCAAATGCTAACCGTGTGGAAGGTTGTCCCTTATAGCACCTTCAGGAGGTGTGTGAATCTCGGGTCGTTTCAAAAGGCAGTGTTTAGTTTCATTATTCATAGCTGTATGTGCTGGTGTTTAATTGTGTGCAGACCTACCTTAACTTTGGAATTTGGGTGTTTTATTAGCAAAATTTCTTAGTTGTTTTAATTAGCAATATTCTAAGTCCTTTCCCATGTAAGTGATTATTGCTTGGGACAGAAGTGAGCAGCTAGTTCTTGCTCTTAGGAGGAGTCCTACTAGACAACATTAAATAGATTTTGGTGGAAAGTGAAGTTATCCTGAGCTGTATTTATTATACAATCACAATGAAGGTTCTTCTAATCACTCTAAGTACTAACACAGGAAAGCCCATGCTGAACATGGAGGTGCATTTTCAGATGAAAATTCATCTTTCTGCTTCCAGAAATAAAACACTCCCCATAGAGGATGTAGCCATTGCTGCTGTAAGCACCTCTTGTTAAAATAACTCTTGTATGCTGCATTTGCAGTAATGGAGTGTTGAAAAGGTGGAGGGGGGGGTCGTCTCACTTGATTCCTGAAATTACAGCAGTAAGTCTTCTCTGCTCTCTCTATGAGAACTGAGGAGGGACAGATACATCTGCAGGTGATCCATGCCACCCTAAATGCAATGCCTAAGCCAGATGCACTCCTGTACTGAGCCTTTTGACCTTTAAATGGCAGCAGGTGAGATGAATCCTGTCCACAATCGATAAGAAGCGGAGGTTCTCCAATGAATATCGTGCCCTTCAGGAGGTGATTATGTTATGAGAGCTCTCTTATTTCTGATTTTTATGGTTACCACATTATCCCTTTTCTCCCCACAACTTCCTCTCTGAGGTTCCGTGTCTGTCAACAGGCAGCTTCTGTCTGGATTTATGGAACAGGAAGAAAGGAAAACAATTACTTTTGGATTTTTCTTTTTTTTGAATTAAAAAAAGCTTTCTAAATAAGGGAATGGACTTTGTATCCCCTGTTTGATTTATAAAGGGAGAAAGAGAAAACAAAGATTGCTTCAATGTGAGATCAGAAATTGATACCTCAGAGGCTCAGTACACAACAGAAGTTGCTTGGCCAGTAGATTTTACTTAACAAGATGGAATTTTTCTTCAGAGCAGAGGTCAAATGCCTCACTTAGATTGTGGAGAGCATGTTAGAGAAATGGGGGTTCAAAATGTTGTTAGAAAGAAATGTCTTATTTCTCTGGGGTGTGCCAGTGACCTAGCCTTCCAGAAGCTATTTACCTGTACCTCCTGTGCTTGTAAATTCCACCTTTTTTTCCCCTTAAGCATAAATTCTTGAACAGTGAACCTTCAGAATTCATTGATTTAACCTGTTGTTATATATATATATATATATATATATAGTAAGGAGAAATTCTAGCTAGTAGTCAGGGGACCAGACAGTAACAGCAACAGCCAAACCTTAATTGTTTCAGAAGCAGAAAACACTTTGGCAAAATTAATTCATTGGATCAATGAAAATAAAGTTAAAAGCATTGTTTGGAAAGATACTGACTTCTGAGGTGTGATGTCTTCCATCAGACTTGGTTAGGAGAAATGTTTATTCTGTTCTGAAAAATGAAGCATTAAGAAAGATTGGTATGCTGAAACCAGAATAAACTGAGGATTCATCTTCATTGGAAGTGGGACACTAGTCATTTTAAGTGTACTGAAGAAATTTGAGGAAGCTGCTAATGAACAAAAAATATTCTTTCTAGTTAAAACTGGTTAAAAAATGAGGTTGCAGTGAATGGTATCCATATCATCAAAAATTCTGGGGGATGTTTCTTCTTACACATTATCTTGTTAACCTCTTGGAGTTCAGTGCTATATAATATCTACTAAGAAGAGCCTACAGTTCAAAGGTAATTGGACTTGTGGATGTGTAACATTCATTTACACAGAAGAAAATACAAACCTGGGTGCTAGATCCTCAGCATTGTCTTAATGTAACCATTGAGTCAAATCAAATGTAATTTAAATTAAGTTAAAACAGCAGGCACAAAGCAGTACAGTTTCTGTGATGGGATAATTTTAATGAATAAAGAATCATAGAATGGTTTGGGTTGGAAGGGACCTTAAAGATCACCTAGTTCCAACCCCTTGCTATAGGCAGAGACACCTCCCACTGTAGGTTGCTCAAAGTCCAATCCATCCTGGCCTTGAATGCCCAAGGAGGCTGTGGATGCCCCATCCCTGGAGGCATTCAAGGCCAGGCTGGATGTGGCTCTGGGCAGCCTGGTCTGGTGGTTGGTGACCCTGCACATAGCAGGGGGTTGAAAGTAGATGATCATTGTGGTCCTTTTCAGCCCAGGGCATTCTGTGATTCTTTTATCTTGTAAGTTTTTTTTAAATCTTTCTAAGAGAGTCTACCTAGTGTTCAGTGATGCCACAGCTAGCTAGCTGTGTTCCTCACGCAGCTGCTGAATACACTTATTTGTAAATTTGAATATTTTTGTAGTAGCTGAATGGTATGAGTTGTATGAAATTTGCTGTTCAGAGTTGTACAGGCAGCTGAATACAAAAGAGGACCTGTGGCATTCCCCTGGAATCCCAGGAGGGGGTTACAGCTGGTAGTCTGTGAAATGCAGCCCAAGCTGAGACCTGTGCAAGTGTGTACATGTAATGGAGAGGTTTATATTCTGTAGTGGCTCCTAACGCAGCTGCAGCTGTGTACTGAGAGAAGCCCTCAGGCTTGTTGCAGTGGGTCGTGTTTCAGTCTCACGCTTACATGAAAACAGTGCCCAAACGAGCAGAAGTAATGTTGGTTTGAAGCACGCTGCTGTGTTCTGGTCGTCTATTTAGATACAGAAGGGAAACATTGCTACTGCAACTGGAAAAATTAGAATTGCGTAGGAGTGAATGAGGCTATGTGTATTCCATCATTAGTAATTTACAGGAAGCACTGTGGGCTGTGTTTATTCTGACTGTAAGAACGGAGGTACATATAGTACCCTGGAAATTAATTAATTGACGTTACTCATTTGGATTTGTCTCTCCTTTGTTACTTGGAGGTGTACATTTCCTATATGTGACTTAAGTTGGCATCATGAGTCTCCTCCATCAGAGGAGTGAGTTAGGCATTGTTTTCTTCTATGCTTATCAGTACCTCTGTGTCAATTGTATGTAGGAGCCTTCTTGTGACTGCTTGAACTAGGGAGGGAATGATGCCACTGTCAAATTACCAATGGATATGAAAATGCCTTCTTTTACTTTAAAGAATGTAATAAAATTTATTTTGCTGTTAAAAAGCATGTTATATGACCAGACTTACAGTACAGCACCTACCTTTTAGACAGGAAGAAAATGCAAGTGTCTTAAAGTTACCTGCATTTTTTTTTTTTTTGCAGGCTATTATAGAAAAATCAAAACTGAAAGGAATTCCTATCATTATTGATGCTGTAAGTATATTTTTGATCGATTCAGTGGCTTTGACATTTAAGAATCTATTCAGAAAATGTTTCTCTTGCTGTTTCTTGCAGGATGGATTGTGGCTTATTTCCCAGCAGCCTTCTCTTATTCAAGGGTACCAGCGAGCTATTCTTACTCCTAACTATATGGAGTTTAGCAGACTATATGAGGCCATGGTGAGCTATTTCCCTTCTTTGATACTTAAGTACACACAAGTTCAGTCTTGAAGGCTTTAAACACCCAGTTACTGGGCTAAACATCACATGCTGGTTTTATATGCAAGATAAGCATTGTCTGGGTTTTCATTCTGGGGCATAATTGCCTCAGCAATACATATTCTTAAACAGAGCTCTCCTTCATGGGAGACCATTTCTAAGGTATTTCTGGCACTGCAATGGGTATAGAGTAAAAATACCTGGAAAGACTGATGATGATGCTTTTTCTTTTCCCCACACATGCTGAAGTAGCTAGCGTGTGTGTTAGAATGTTTTGTTCTAGTAATAAAATACGTACTGTGTGTGGAATTCTTGTGTTATAGCTTAGAGACCCCGTAGACAGTAGTGATCATCATGGATGTGTTTTAAGACTCAGCCAAGCCTTGGGGAATTTGACAGTTGTTCAAAAGGGAGAACGAGATCTTATTTCAGATGGAGAGAAAGGTAAGTGAGACCTTTTGCTCTCAGCAGTGTGATTTTTTTTGTTTGTTTTCAGTTGAAGGCCAGTGGCTGACTGTATAATAACTGGTTGGTTGTATTCTGACAATTGAGAAGGGGGGGAAAGGCTGTCTTTGCAGATCACCTTTAGGTGCCTTATGTGAGTTGGTATTTTAAAAAGAGCAATTTAGTTGCTGAAAAAAAGTTGCTGATATTATTTTGAATGTAAATGGCTGTAACCAATGTCCTATACTAAATGCATATTAAGAAACTCATTCACAGAATCATAGAATGGCTTGGGTTGGAAAGGACCCCAAGGATCACCAAGTTTCAACCCCCCGTTCATTGTTTTTGTAAGCTGTTTAAAAGTCCTTCACTGAGATGGTCTAAGTGCAGGTGTCACTGCTGAATCCATGCAGAATAATGCTGTTACACCATGTGTTGATGTGTCTGAAAAGATGATGTCCTGAGGTTCATGGACTGCTTAGTTGCTTGTTATTGTCCTCCATGGAGTTGTAGATTAGTATGTACCTATATGACTTATATATTAGCCCTGACAACTTTTCTTTAATTTAGCTCTAGATCATCATTACAACTTCTAAAAACTGTCACTTACTAATATAGTTTAAGTGTACTTAATGAAATTAGCTGCTTGTCTTTTGTTAAGATTATTTGCTGGGATAAGTGTAAAATGAATTCATGAGTGTCTTCATCCCATTTTGAATGCATGGCATTATTTCACATACATAACAAGCAGCAGCCCTGCCCCTAATTACTTGAAATGCTGATAAATGAACTCTGATAAATACTGATGTTTTCAGAATCTTTTTGCATATCCTTTTTTATTATTAGGAGCAATGGGAGTCTTTTATAACCAGAAAAACACGTGTAGTACCACAGTTGGTTTGTGCAGAGCCACCTTCCACGTAGCCCCATTAGCACAGGTACTGTAGCAGACTGTGAAGCAAGCTGAGATTGGAAACAGTGTAGTTATGGCTGTGTGGTGAAGGACTTTGGGTCATGCAGCACCCACATCTCATTACATAAGGTCTGCTGTCATATTTGTACCAACGGCAGACTTGATTTGCAGCCTTGGACTATCAGTCCACGCTTAAGGGAGAATGATCCATGCCAGAGGAAGAAATACCATGGCTCCAGTTTAGGTCAGTTAGAGACCTTTAGAGTACTGCAGCAAATCTTCCTGTGGTTTTTCTGTCAACCATGTTACTTTTTGTGCAGGCTTGTTGCTTTTGTGATGACTGTTGGGAAAACTGGGTGACACTTTTGACTAAGCACGCTGCCTCGTACATCTCTGATCTTTTGAGTTGCTCTTCTTGAGAGAAGTATATTCTCAGTGCTTGCTGCAGAGAGGAGACACTCAGTATCTGTTGTCTCTTGTCGTGCAAGGTTCAAAAAAGGGAGGAAGCAACTAAAAGTCTGCAATTTCAATTTTGAATGGTCAGGCTTGGCACAAATCTGGTGTCTTATGTCTTTTTGGGGCTTTCACTGTTATTTTTCCCCCCACCTTTTCCTTTGTCTAACATTCTGATTTTATTTCTCTTAGCAAAGCAGCTTTTTAATTTGAAATAAAAACAACTCTGTGCCTTTGTAGCAATTGTTTGATACAGCTATAGGCCGCGTTCGTGTTCTTACATTGGTTATATGATTGATGGCTTTCTCTCTCCTGAATTGCAGACGTCACAGGTAGCACTGCTGAGCCACGAGAAAGCAGTTGTCAAGTTGAATACAGATTATAGTGTCTACTGCAAACACTGTGTTTAGGTTTTGTGTTGCTGGTAAAGAGCTCCTGAGAATTTTGCAGAAAAGACTTCAGCTTCCTTTTAACAGAAACGTTCTCTGGGTCTGAGAAACACCGTTGGTTGATTTCTGAAGGGCTCCTCCAATGCAGCACAGAGCATGCTGTTGTGTCGCTGACCTTGAATTCTCTCCCAGGTTTTCCATTCTTAACTCACTGCTTTTTTCATCTGTCTGTCCTTTTGATCCGATGTCGTTATTTTTCAGCTGAGACAACATACGTGATGATTCCAGTGTGAGGGAAATGCAGACCACTGGATCAGGCAGTGTCCCCTGAGCACAACCAAATATTATGAAAACATCTGTGTTCTCCTTTTGCCTTTTATTTTTCATATCATCTTCTGTCTATCATGCTTTAGCCTTATCTGTTTTTAGGGCTTTCGTGCTTGAGCTCCTGTGCCTAGCACACCAATACTGCGATGTCTAGCATCACTTTTAAACGTTCTCCTTTGGGCAGATAATGCATGCATACTTTCTGAAGAATTAAGTGTCACTGCTCTCCAGAAAAAGTAGAAATTGCGAACTTAGGCATGTAGCTGTGGTGTGCAGTGCTTGGCTGGTGTGGAAGGAAAGCTTTTTGAGGAGGCAGGGCTTTGCAGCAGGGAAAACAAGGGCTTGGTGAATACTTTTTGGCTTAGATCTGACTGTAGTGGGTTTTTTTCAGTGTACTTTTATTCATGTGTCTGTAGGAAATACATTTGACAATTTACCTTTGTCATAAAGTGCTTTGATAGTGAGCTGGAAGTACAGGCGTTGTTGGTGAAGGGTTGCTGTTAGCAGATAACTGTAATCAGAACAAACCAGCACAATAAGCTCTGATTGGAAGCTGAAGTTTAAACAAACTCACATCACAAGTAAGGCAGATTTTATTAAGAGTCAAAGAAATTAGCTATGAGAATAGCATATCAAGAATGCTGATAGATTCCCAAACTGTAAAATGTCAGGACACCTTTAAGGTTGTTTTATATAAATCACATCAGATGATTCAAGAGGTTCTTTGAAGCCTTAAAATCAGAACTGAATCACATATGTGGCCTCTGTAAAATCAGTAACGATCCTCCACTACAAATGAGGCTCTCCTAAAATGTCTCAGTTTCAGTTATGAGCTGCCAACTGCCCTGTAAACGTAATTGGCAAGATTTTAAATTAAGTTTTATATACTCTTTTTCTCTTTCCTTTTGCAATTTCACATTATAGCTTGGTCTACACTTGTTGATTCCCTGCTCTACAAAGATGAGCTTCACCATGCTCTTAGTAGGTGATATCAGTGCCATCACTGACCAGGGTAGGAATGAGTACTCAGCCTATGGGGAAAAGGTAAGTCAGCTTTTATTCACTATGGCACAGCTCTCTAAGGCTTTCTTTTTATTATTCACTGGAGAACTGGGCAATAATAAAGTGTGGTTATACCCATCTTAGTTCCTAGCAAGTTTAAAATTTGGCTGAGTCCTTGAAGTAGCAAATTTATTTTGTTGATTGTTAGGGGTTTTTTGGTTTTTTGTTTCATTTTGATTTAATGCTATGATGAGTTTTTCCTATACTTTTGCCAGCACCTGCGTCTGTTCTCTCCTCCTTTCCCAAAGCAGGCCTCACTGTAACCAGCCAGTTGCTGCCTCTTGTCTTCTCCTACCTGGAGCCTATAACAAAACATTTCTCTCCTGTTGCCCAACAGCATGGACAAGAAAAGCAGAGCATGTGAAAAGGAGTAAGGTTTACTGATATGGGGTAAAAAATATCTCTTGCCCTGAATCCCCAAACACTACTTAAGAGTTTCTGCCATTTATTCCCTACACGGCTAGAAAAGAAGCTGTTCGGTGCCTGTCAGTCTCTGGCTGCCCAGTAGATTCTGCCTAGATTGTAACTGAAAGGCACTGCCTTCAACTCCACTCCTGCTTCTGCAGTCCAGGCAAAACAGAGCTCTTGGTTACCATCCACGGTCCCACTCTCTTGTCAACTACATGCTCAGCTCAACCTGCTGCCTCCCTGTCATTACTTGTCTATTATAACATCCATTCCCTGGCTCCTGCACCCATCCAAGGAAAGAAATACAAAATTTGTTTTCTTTTAACATACGTTACCTGTATTACCTAATATCTCACACTCAAGGACCTAGCTAAGTTTTAGCAGTGTGATTAGTGAATATGAAAGTATAAGCACCCTTTATATAAAAGCCAACTTACATTTTTCCACATCAGTTGAGGGGTTTAAGGGAGCTTATAAGCAGGAGGGGGGGGACCAACTTTGCATGGTCTGATAGTGATAGGATAAGGAGGAATGGCTTTAGACGAGAAGAAGGGAGTTTTAGTTTAGATGTTAGGAAGAAATATTTTGCTCAGAGGGTGGTGAGGTGCTGGCATTGTGGAGATTGTGGAGATGCTGTAGGTGCCTCATGCCTGGAGGGAATTAGAAGCTGCTTGTGTATAGATAGCTATATCAAAATTCATGCCTCCCAGTCAGCTCACAGTGCTTGATATCAGCAAAGCTACTAAATTCTAGTTTTGTTTTTTTTTTAAGCTGTCATGACAGCTATTTTCATTTACATCACAGACTGTTTGTTTGTGTGTGTGTTCGTTGTTTTGTTTTGAATTAAGCATAGAATAGCAATAAATGTGTCATGCTTTTGGGTTTTGATCTGCCTGCACAGTTTGGGCTGTGAGCTCCTTTGGTTCAAAGCTTGCTGGTAGAGATAAAGGGTAGCATGAGGCCATGGTCTGAATGCTTCCCAAAATGCTAATGTTTATCTTCAAGGCATGCTGAAAAGGGACTGAGGGTAACTTATTCCATGGCCTGATTTATGTTAGGCAGAGAGCCACTAAATAATTTTCCTGTAGTTATCCAGGAAATGTGGGGCTCAATGTTGAATTGTTTAGTACATAAAGCTTGAGAATTTCTACTTTCCAATATTCTGTCAGTGTGACAGCCTTCATTTCTTGTTCCTGTTGTTACAAATTGTTTTAATGGACTTCTGTAGGCAAGAAACCTGTGTGACTCTGTGTGCCAGGGTGTTGTATTTGCTGCACACAGCTCTGGCAATGTTTACATGCTGTTTAATTGTTGAAATGATGTTGAAATTGTTGCAGCGGGGCTGTGGTTGTTCTGGCTGTAGTCAATCTTTCTTGCCTTATTTCACTCAGAGATTTTGTCAGTTACAGCATTTTTATTTCAGCTGCTTACTACAGGTCTGTGTGCTCCATAGTGCTAGGGAGTCAGGTTGACTTTTTTTTTCGGAAGGTTGCCTGGCATAAATTGGTTTTCATTAAAAGTCTGCCATTAATTATACTGAGTTAGTTTTTCAGATCATCGCCCTGTGAAATAATGACATCAGATCTGGTTGCCAGGAGCTATTCAAAAACAGAGCAGGGCACCTCGATCCAGCTGACATCAGCTGCCTGTTTTTGCCTCTGAAGGTCTTGTTTTTCTATTTACCTCATCCACTCGTGTCCATCCAGGCTGGATGGGGCTTTGAGCAACCTGGTCTAGTGGGAGGCGTCCCTGCCTACAGCAGTGGGGTTGGAACTGGGTGATCTTAAAGCTCCCTTCCAACCCACACCACTCCTTGTGATCTAACAGAGCTCTGGTGGCATCAGCACCACTTGGCACTGCTCGGTGCGGCGGTGTCAGGAGGGCACCCACGTGGTGGCTGAAGAGCTGCTCTGTGCAGGCAGTGGGGCACATTCAGTTGGGGTGTTGGGTTGGCAGGGGTGAGGAAGGCAGCAGGGTGTTCTTATTGTGGTAGGAGAAGATTGAGAAAAGCATCTGGAAGACTTTGTCCTGTGCGGGTTGGGCGGCACGCCAGGCTGTCACATCGCTGCTGTGGGATTCCTTCTTTTGTTTTAAAAGCTCTCAACAGCGACTGTTGTTCAGAGGAGCTTTTCATTCCTTTTCACACTGCCTGTTGTAATGTTCATCGTCCTTTTATTGAGGGATGTTCTTTGAGGAGTGGAGCCTCTGTGCAAGAGAACTGGCCGGGCGTTATACCTTTCCCCCTCATTCAGTGAATTTCCTGTAATTCTGCTGCTTTGAAGCTATTGCCTGGATTTGTTTTCCACCATCTCTGTGCAGAGTACAAAGGTCTGCCTTTGTTGCTGCCTGTGAGGTACTCTGCACATATTTGAGACTTACAAACAAAAGAGCACTTCTTTTTTTGTAGCGGGGTATTATAATTGGCCTAGTTTGAGCAGATCTTACTTCCCTGCACAGCTCAAAACTGACTGTAAGGTTGTGGGGCTGCAGAATAGTGGCAGATGGTGACATACAGCTAATAAGCAGGGGCTTGTGCTCAGCTGTCAGTCAGAAGGCCTCAAAGCTTTTGAACAGAGGATTTCCATCCTGCCTCCTGCCAGGAGTTCAAGACCTCAAAGTGAAAATCCTGTGAGATACCATCTTCAAAGTAACAGAATTAGAGGTAATTTCTCCAAAGCACTGTATTTAAAAAAATAAATAAATAAAAAAATCCACCTAAGAGGGCATACCTTGTTCAAATACCACCCTCAGAAGAGTATTACACTTGTGAAATTTGACATTAACTACTGCTCACTGAGAAACACCTCCGGAATCTTAATTTGGGGGCCAGGGGAAGGGAGGGAGAAGGGCAATTGGGAAAATGAAGTGCTGGGAGCAGTGCAGCGGTGTCTGCTGTGTTGGTGGTGACTAATGAATCTTTGCCCTCCCAGTGGCAGCAAAAACACACAGCTGCCCGGCCTCGTGAGCCCAGCAATTACTGCTGGAAGAGTTGGGAAGCAATGGAAGCGAAGTACAATTCTCCGCTGCACTGAGTAACAAAGAAATGAGCTGTGCAAATGAACTGGGAAGGTTTGCTTGTGTTAAGTAGGTTTTTTTAAATCTTGCTGTTTAAGGTTTACCTGCAAGGTTCAGTTTGTGCGCAGGCAGATTTTTCCCATTATCTGAAAGACACGGTTACTCTAAAAAATAGGGATGGTAATCCCTTCAAAACTCCTAGGCTGCTCTGTCGCACACCTTGGAGAATCCCAAGGGGAAAGCTGTTGGCACAAGCAGTGCCTTGCTTCGTATTGCCTTGTGTGCTTTGCTTGCCCAGGAGTATGCTAATAACTGGCTTCCTACTTTTGGACTTGCTGAGAGCGGAGAGCAAGGGTCTTACATTCAGTGAAACCATCTGCGTGTCCCTCATAGTTAAAACTCCACAGAGATCAGTTTGACCAAGGACCTTGGTGTACCAAAACCAGAAAGGCAGCAGCTGCTATCTGACAGACCTACCCACAGCAACGCTGCTGACAGAGACATGCATGGACTCTCAGGACACTGCTGACCGGCAGAGATCTCTTTTTGCCTTTGATTTCTACAAAGCCTAAAGAAAAGACTGTTTACAGTAAACTTGCTTTCTGATGTGCACAGGTGGCTTCAGAATTGAGTTCCATTTTGCACTTACTCCATGTGAAATGCCTTGGTTTACTGTTGTGAACTCTGAAGGGCTGAGGCTCTGCAGAGATGCACACATGCACTGGGGAGATCTGGGCCACTGTGGGGTGTGTGTGCATATAATGGTGGCATTGGAGGTGTATGGAGACATGGAGCACTAAACTGCTGGGCGGCAGCGTTCTCTGCAGGCTGAGTGGAATGGAAACAGCAACAGCATTGTGCCACGTCACTACAAAGGAGTGAAAAGTAACTGGAAAGTGATTTGTTGTTTTTTTTTTTTTTAAATATTAACACAATTTAATTTTGTTGTTGTTAACAAATAGTGTATTGCAGCATATGCTGCTGCCTGTGAGTTCCCCCAGAGCTTCGCTCCCACAGCCGCAGCAATATCACTGTGTATAGAAGAAGCAATGCACCTGACTGGTTTGGGTTTGCTCGTTCACAGTGCTTGTGTGCAGTCATGAAGGAAGCAGCCGGAGATGTGGAGGACAAGGAGACCTCCTTTCTGGTTCCCTCGGAGTCTTAGCACACTGGGCATTTCTGGCTGGAGCAGAAAAAACGAACGGGTATGGATGTTGTTAATGATGTCTTCATTGTTGTGAGTCTGTGTTCCCCTGTGGCGACTGCTGTAGTCCTGCTCTAGACATGTCCAAATAAAATCGAAGGAGTCACTGGGTCTGAAGCATCCATGCAGTTTTGCGGGTGTGCTCTGGAGCTGAGGTACATCACAAGACAAACATGTCCCAAGTTGGAGGCAGAAGAAGAGTGTGATCTTGGCTCAGTTCCCACAGACACTTATATGTGGAGGGTGTGTTTCCAAAACAGCTGAATGTAAGCAGGAAGTGTGAAGGGTAAGCAGGTAGTGGTCACTCTCAGTAACATCTGTGTAGCTCAGAGCCAAGCTTGATGTAGTTTCGCTTTTGTAACTTGGTGAATTACCTCGCATTCACTAAAGTAAGGTAGTGGAGCAGGTGGGTTGAAACTCAAAAACAAAATACAGGTTCCAAGAGGGTGACAGTTTTAAGGCCAAGCAGCTGCCCTGTTTGCTCATACATAAAGCAGACGTTCACCTGCAGCTGGCTGCTGGCTCATCTGCTGAGTTACATCAATTCCCATCTGACTGCTTGGTCTGTAGAGTTTTGGGGTCTGTGAAAGAAGCTGCTCTAAGTGAAATGTAAAGGATGACAAGCAGTTGTTAGGGAACAACAGTGCTTCTTCCCAGAATGTAGTGAGCTAAGAATGTAGACTGCAGTCTGAAGTAATGAAGCATCAGGCTTTTTCTTAGTCTAAATACTCGTTTAAAAAAAAATACGCTTAGTTCACCCTTATTTTCAATAACTTATTATGTTTGTTAATCCACTAAACAAAAAGATTTCCCCAAGTACTTCTCAAATACGTCGTTAGTGTGATTGTACATCCCCTCTGGTGTTGTAGCAGCAGTAGTAATATACCCTTTGGTAGTATATGAAATGGTAGCTTGCATGAGAAAAAGATGTGGAGTGTTTCATTGAATTTGCTGAGCAAATGTTGGTATTACCATCTTATCGTCTCTTCCAAAGATTGTATTTGCAGCATTTCCTCACACAGCAGTCTCTCTCATTTTCTAGATATCTTTCCAGTTCTTTCTGTATTTTTTCAGTCTTGGGTATTTGGAGAAAGGGTATTCAGGGCTGAACACAGTTTTGAAGCTTAAGGCTGAATTCTGCCTTGCTGGGTGCCCCACTGAGCGTGGTTGACTGCAGCAAATGCCAGATCCCTGCTCCACTTTTCCTCTTTCTCTAGTTAGTGTGCTAAATATCAAATGTAATGAGCATCACCTCCTTGTTTCCATCACATAAATCATAACATATCCAGAATGGAGAACAAAACCAGGGTTGTTGGTGTGTCTGAAGTTGCAGCTGTCAGTAAAAGAGTAACTTCATTTTACATAATGAAAAGGATGAGTTCATTTGTGTGCGTGGCATGCACCGCATTGCTGGGGAGATCAGCACAGCCAGCACATGTTCTGCAGACACTCTGGTACAGCACACAGGGTTCTCCTAGTAAGTAAGAGGTGATGGCTTTGGAATACCATAGGCATGAACCTGGTGCTAGGGAGCATAAGAACTGTGTGCAGGCTGCTGGGCCTCACGTCTGTGCTGCCTTCTATGGGGGAGGATCAGTGCTTGAATGGCAGGCACAGATACACTGTTAGGTAGCTCATCAACATAGGGAGCTTCAAGAGAGTTTCTGTTGTGGCTTTCAGGTGTTAGAGCGCTCTTGTTAAGCTGATCTAATGATACATAATGACCTTCTGTGCAGTTCATGAGGTATTTATACGTCTTCTCACTGACTGCCACCTGATTGTCCATCACCCCAACGCTGTCCCTGAGAGCAGAGTCCCCTCTGCTAATGGAGAAAGGAACTCCAGTGTTACACCCAAGGGCGAGAAATAAAAGTATGGTATTTTTTAGGGGCCAGCTAAGGTGAGGGCTGGGTTGCCATCCCATTTTTAAGCACTTTTTTACACCAGTGTGGCTGCATAAGGGCTTGTTGTGCTTCAGCTCCATCACTGAGGAGCTCCCTGGTCCATTATAGGGTTACTTGTGCTGGCTGGATCACTCTTACACAAGACTGCTTTAGAAACAGAACGTTCAGCTATGGTTTGTAATTTGATTTCTTTCCTTTTAGTCAAAATCCCTTCCTCGTGGCTGCATTTGGAGCTTGCTCTCTGACGAGGCAGTGCAACAACCAGGCCTTCCAAAAATTCGGACGTTCAATGACAGCCTCTGACATGGTTTCAGAAGTTGGAACAGCTTTTAGCAAACTTTTTGAAACCTGAGGTCAGAGCAGCCGAGAAGAGAAGGAAGACCGACGACTGCAAGAATCATTGCATTTACAGTAGAATTTAAGTAATGCACCCTGCAAGTGCTGTAGCAGCATCGGTATGCTAGGTAGATTTTTTTTTCATTTTTAAGAATAGAAAAATATGATTAATGTAGATATTTTTTAAGAGTTTGGAATACAGAAATGTTTTGGCTGAAATAAGCTGTAGTTGCAGATCTGTTATAATATAATAAAACTAAGCTGAAAGTATTCCTCTGTTCTTTTTGATAGTTATTGAGCAATAACTGAAATATGAACAGCAAAACAATGCACTTAAGACTTAGGTAAGAATGAAATTCTTCCACCAGCTCAACCGAGTTTCCTAGATTGCACCACGGTTGTCCTGAGTTCATCCTTAGACCCTCTGTCTGGAATCTAACGATTGCACTTCATGTTTTGCCATGTAGTATAGTCACTTTAAGAAGCAGAAAGTCAGCCTCCTTGGAAAGGGAATGCATGAGCATTGCTTTAGATGTTGAATGTAACTAGTTGCCTTTTCCATTCCCAATCCCAGAGGCAGCATTCATTTTGACTAGACATCCTTCCTTCAAGGTCTGGGCTTTGGGAAGATTCCCCCATTGCACAGTAAGGATAGACTGTAGGTATGTTAGTATTAAACAGCATTTATGCTTACCTGAGAGAAGAACTCTTTTCTAGTCCTTCAGCTGGTCTCAGTCATCCGGAACTGGGCACGATGAATTGTGCCACGTTCTCATTCAGAGAGGTGCTACGCAGGGTAGGAACGCTGTGCTGCTGAACTGACATGGCTCAGGCTCTTGGGTGTAATGGCAAAGCTTTGTAGGACCCCAAGTGCTGCTGCACTGGAGCTCTGAGAACGTGAGCACAGATGTACCATGTAGGTCGGTGTCTGTTAGCCAACAGGAATATGAACCTGTATGTCCCTGCATGTCAGAGCCAAGGCAGGCAGCTGTGTGCACTGTGAGCCACAGGAACAGAAAATTGCTGGCAGAGGCCAAAGCTCTGTGTGGGGCAGCTGTGCAGAGAAATGACCAAGCTGGGTCTGCCCCTGTTTGTTAGGGACATACCTGGCTGGCTCAGTGGCACAACAGCTCCACTCTGACACAGGGTTTGAATGCTGGAAACTCCTGCGTGGCGCCAGGAGTTGGACTTGATGATCCCTGTGGGTTCCTTCCCATTTGAGGTATTCAGTGTTGGATAGAAAGGGGAAGTTGAATGGCATTCTGCATAACAATCATTTTTCATATTGTTGGAAATTCAGTCAAAGCTTGCGAGGATTGCCCTGATACGGAGAGAGGAGCAAGTTCATCCTGAGCACTCTCAGAGAGCTGGCAGGAAATGGTGCTCCCACTGAACCTACACTCCAGCTCCAGCTGTATATACTCACTGAAACGCAGGAACAAGCACACAGAGGTGTGCCTTGTAGTTAAAACAGGTGTTAAATATTCATTGCAACCACTGTTTTCCAGCTCTGGAGTGGAGCACAGTGACACACACACGAGGCAGATCGTGTCCTCATAGCTTGCAATAGCTTCCCACAGAAAGCACCTGGCTGCTCTGCCTGTCGCCCCTCTGGCCCTTAGCATTACTACTTCTGTATGCACTGTGACTACTACCTCACCCCAATGTGTTTTGTTTTTCTTTTTAACCCAGTTACCTATTTTGTAAAATGGGTTTTTAAATGTTTGCTCTTTTTGGTCTATGAGGGTTCACAGAACTTCTTAAATTAGAGCCTGTCTACTCATAAGAGATGGATTTCTGGTGTTTACTTAAAGCAGTTTTCTACCCTCCCACCACGCTGGGGGAAACCAAGGTACCATGATTTTTCCCCTTCATTGGAGAAGCCCAACTCCTTTAAAAAAAAAATAAAAATCAGCAAACTGATTTAAAACAGCTACTGGATTTCCTGTAGAACACTGAGCAAAAGGTTTTATCTAGAACATCAGTGGCAGGGTATCAAAATGGCACTATAGCAAAATGGCATTTGTAGGCCAAGCCAATGGATCTCCGTCAGTACAGACCTCAACCTGCCATGTTGGTTTTTAAGTCTACACAAGAGCTGTAACTTTGTTATTCACCAATGTACTCAAATAACGATTGTTACAATTTTTAAACATTCTGGAAATGTAGCAATTCCTTTCAGTAGGAAATAAAAATATAGCAACTTCACACTGTGTGCTTCCCTGTGTTCTGAGCACCTTTGCCCCCCCCCAAAGCTGTTGCTTCCAGGTCATGGCAGCACAGAGCAACAGCAGCAGCACAGAGCAACAGTCGCCTCACCCCTATCTTTAAAGCACACGCAGCCAAAGGAAAGAGGCATTTGCTCTCTCTCACATGGTAACTGCCTCTGTGGCTGTCGTCAAACCACGCCTGACAGCCCCTTGGGTTTCACTACTGAATGCTGATCCAAGCTGCCCTGCACAGAGCCACCCTGCAGCCCTGGGTGAGGCTGCCACAGCGCCTCCCACTCCCCCCTGCGCTGTGTGCCAGCTGCTTGCTCTGTGGGGGCTCACTAATGGGACCAGTAGTGCACTGCATGCACCACCTCCCTCTTTCCACTGCTGACAGACGCACCCTGAGCCCCTGAAATCACACTGTGCCAAAGCAAACTGAAAAGATGACGCCTTCTACTTTATTAGGATAGCAGCAGTATTGACAACGCAGCAGTTAAAGCACAAGCCCAGCGCTGAAGGCTCAGCTTTTCTCCTCAGCCTGCTGCTCTGCTTGCCCGCTTTCTGCCATTTCCCACGTCGAAGCTGTGCTTCTGTCCTGCAACAACAAGCAGTGGGTCAGGCCTAGCAGCTGGGATCACAAAGGGTCTGTATCTGCCTCACACTCGGTCTGGGTGCCACACAACGCACCACGTGCAGTTCTGAGAGGGTTCAAATTTATTTCCTTATTTATTTTACTTGTGTATTTTTTTGTGCAGCAAAGCCATTAATCAAACAGGGAACAGAGGTGGTGATGCCATCCCCCAGGAACGCCCTTGGTAGCAGTAGGTTGATGGATATTTCCATCTGGTTGCTTGAAGCTCTGTAATTCAGACAAACCTCACATGCACTGAGCGACATGAAAGACAGCATGCAGAAGTCATAAACTCAATCAGTTGAAGAAATCGCCCTTTCTTCAAATCTGACTTTCACTAAATTCACTTATAAGCACCCCCTGAGCTGCTACTACAGCCTGCAGCAGCTGAGCCCTCCCTGCCTGCCCAAACCCCTCAGGGGGTGCTGGGTCAGTCTCAGCACACAGAGGAACCCCTTGTGCTGCACCTCCAGCAGTCTCGGAAGAGCCCTACAGAATGGAGGTTCAGCAGAAGGCAGTTGTGTACATACAGGGGAGCAAATATTCCAGCTTCCCACGGCTCCCTCTGCTTTCACAGCTGCAGTTCAGCACCGGGGTGCTCTGTCCCTCAGCCCAGCACTTAGCAGCACACTGGCTTCCATCTGAGATCCTGAGCTGACCACAGCTCCCGCCTGCTTTTAATGGCAGCACTGACATCGCCTCTCACGCTCAGCATTTACCAGGGATGCCTGTGGTCACCCCTGACATGATCCTGCTTTGTACCTGCCCAGAGGTAAAACAACGCAAGGACACTGAGCACGGCTCACGTGCAAGGAGCAGAGTGAACTGCTGGGCAAAGCAGGCACGATTCTGCATATAAAAAGCCTGAAGCTGAGGTGAGAACAGAGCTGGAAGCAGCAGCACCCCCTGAAGCAGCAATGCAGCATCTTGAAACCAGGAGGAGGTAGCAACCCCACGAGGGGACTTCTCTTGAGCACAGTCAGGGTAATGCAAAAGGAGAAGATTGGTATTAGGAACAGACTAAGAACAGAATGCACCACAGAGAGAGAAGTGGTACAGGAACCAGGGAAAGTATGTACAACTCAAGAGTGAGGAACAGACCCTCCGGTGAGGACCTACCCTTTTGATATGGGTGTGTAGGTAGAGGGAAGGCAGTATTTCCACCAGTCACCTCAGGTTACTTTCCTGTTCCTCTTCAGTCTTTTTAAAACAGCACACATCGCTCCCAGCCCTTCTGCTGTATTGAACTGGGACAATTTCAGGATTTCTGAACACAATGGGATTTTCAGTGGCAAAACAACACTCCCTTGGCAGCTGCAGAAGGAGCTACAGCTTGCACGGGGACACATGGCTGAGGATCAGGACAGGCCATTAGCTGCCTCCTGCTACTGCTGCTGTAGCACAGCGATGGGAGCTGTGAAAGGGCACAACCGGATGCTGCCTGACAAACCAAGGCCCATCTCACGCGGGGAGCAGCTGTTTTTTACCTTGATGTGGATTCCAAAGGCAGCCAGGTCCCCACGCAGGCTGTCGCAGGCCTCCAGGAGGGGTTTTCTCTCCTGCATCAGCTGCCGTCTCTTTTCTTTCTGTTCTTGTTTTGGTCCTTTTGCTCCCACGGCACCTTCCTCCATTCGCACAGTCTCTGTGGCTTCCGGCAGCACAAGAGCGTAGTTACGAACCTTTGTGCGGAAGCTCACGAGCTCATCCATCACACTGGAGAGCAGAGCTGTATTTCTCCCTCCCACTGCGACCTACGAACCAAGCGTGTCATTTTAAAAACATCTGAGAACGATTTCAAAGTCAATCACAATTCAGCAGCCTCGCCACCTCTCCTGGATGTGTGCCTTCCATTACAGTGATGTAACTGAAACCTGGCAGCCCGTTCCTCACACTGGACAGAAGTGCAAAGAATCACAGTCACTCAACACTTTGGGCTGGAAGGGACCTCACAGCCCATCCACCCCAACCCTGGGCTGTGGGCAGGGCTGCCCCCACCAGCTCAGCTGCCCAGAGCCCCATCCAACCTGGCCCTGAGTGTCTCCAGGGATGGGGCACCACAGCTTCTCTGGGCAGCTGTGCCAGCACGTCACCACCCAAAGTTATGGCACGGTCATACTTTCAAGTAGCTCCATGTGTTCCCAAACATGCAAGAGTTCCTCATGGAGCAGAGGTACCCGTGTGAATGTAGCATGCTGCATAACCCAGCTGTAAAACTCCTCGCCACAGGAATTTTTGTTGCCCAAAGCACGCATCACTTACAGGACATTGAACAATGAATAACAGCAGGGCCTGGCAGCAACTCTCAGCACAACAGAAGCCCAGCCCCACAGCTATGAGCTCCCCGGGAGTGAGCACGCACACCAGCCTCCTACCCTGCGTATGAACCCCAGCCCTCCTCAAGGAATACAACCAAGGAAAATGAGGCATTTTTTAATCAAAGAATCATAGAATCACTTGAGTTGGAAAGGAGCCTTAAAGGCCATCCAACCCAACTCCCTACAGTGAACAGGGACACCTACAGCTCGATCAGGGTGCTCAGGGCCTGGTCCAGCCCAGGACTATGAATGTCCAATGATGGGGCATCCACCATCTCTCTGGGCAACCTGTGCCAGTGCCTCACCACCTTTATTGTAAGGAAATTTCCTTATAACCCATCTAAATCTCCCCCTCTTTTGCTGTCACATTTTTTTATTACATTTTACTTGTACTCTTAGTACAGCATAGCAGTGCCGGAGGGCAAGGTGGCTGCAGTGATACTTGGCTGGGAGCAGGACTGCAGCTGAGTAATTAAAGCCAGAGGGGACAGCATGTCATCAAAGAGCAGCAGGGTGGGATGAGGAGGAGGTGCTACAGAGGCTGGGAACAACTGGAGGGGAGGAATAGAAGAGAGCTATTTGAGGGCTAGAGCTTGAATGTTCAGTGCTCTGCACTGTTGTGAAAGACAGCAAACTTTCAAAAGAAATAAACATAGAATCATAGTGATTTGGGTTGGAAGGGACCTTTAAGATCACCTAGTTCCAACCTCCTGCTATAGGCAGGGACTCCTCCTATTAGAACAGGTTGCTCAAAGCCCCATCCAGCCTGGCCTTGAATGTTTCCAGGGAGGCATCCACAACCTCTCTGGGCAGCCTGTTCCAGTGTCTCGCCACTCTCACAGTAAAGAATTTCTTCCAGATAAACATTCTGAAGAAGAAGTTTATGGGACTGAAAGTAATAAATTTAAGAGCCACGAACCAAGGGCATGGAGAAGAGCACAGTAAATGCTTGAATGCAGAAGTGAAGGAGAGTAAAGATGAATGGTGAGTGGGGCTGAGCAGCATGCTTCCACAGGCACTGCTGTCAACGTTCATGGAAGCACTGATCCATGGCACAAAGGCAGGATCCTCCCCAAGGAGGACAGCTCTGAATATCAGATCAGTTCATCTTCCATGTAAAACATCACATGGGCTCTGAGAGCCGAGCTTAATTTTCTTCTTCTGTAGTACCAATCAATTCCAAGGGCCCATATGGAGGATGATTCCTGCTGTTACTCCTGGAACACTGAAGTGGAACCAGAAGTTGGACTCAAAGGTCCTCGTGGTTCCCTTTCAACTCAGGATATTCTGTGGTTCTATGATTCTTTGCTCACAAGCTCCAAACAGGCAAGGATGCCTTCCATGCATGGGCCAGAAGCCCAGCAGTAACTGGGAGGGCTGCCTAAGAGAAACATCTACTGAGACTTCTGTCTGGTCAAATCCATCATAAGTGCAAAAATGCATTCACCCTACCTGCCTGTGGCTGTCCAGGCTCCTTCTCTAACCCATAGAGAAAGGTAGCTTGCACCCAGATGACTGTACAAAATGGGATTACTGCAGAAGTACAGGGAGTTATGTTAGACTACATGGCTCACCAGCTGCAATGAATTGCATCTGAAGAGCAGGACAGACCCCCAGGCTGTATGCAAGTCCCCCAACCCAAGTGCTGCTCCCAGCAGCCTCTCCACTCATTTGTCAGCATGGCAGCAGCCACCTCGGGGAGCCCTCTCTTCTACCTGGCAACCTCACACCAACTCTGTCTGCTGGCCGTGATACCCAGAGAAACCAGCGCAGCACACAAAGAAGGAAAGCATTAAGGTGCTTTGAGTTCAGTGAAAATAAACATCCAGCGACACTCGCTTACAGACAGCTCAGTCTGAAGGAATGAGCTGTTCTCCCTCTCCATTCCAAGCACTAGGAGATACATGAGGTATTTCCAGCAAAGGTCCTGGATGCAACCATCAAAAAAAGAGCCAGGTACATAACACATATATAACAGTACCAAGGTAAAGGCTTTCAAGTGCCCACTTCCTCATTTCATTCCTCAAGCATGCGTTACTACAGCACGACAGCTGCAGAAGTCATACAGGGACACCCACAGGAAGAAACAGGCTCCCACAGGGCTTCATCCTTTTCTGCCTGCTCAGATGCTTTCCTAACACACCACAGCAGAAACCACAAGCAATGCAGGAAGGCTTACTGAAGCCATAAACAGCTCTGTTACCTCTGAGGCTTTTAGCAAGTGCTCCGCAGAGCATAACGCTGACACTGTTACCACACACCAGCACATCCCAAAGAGGAGTTTCGTACCTGCCTTTCTTCAAAGGACATCCCGAGGGCATTAAAGAAGCTTTCTATATAGGAAGTAATGCTCCCGTACACAACCGAGCTTCTGGGAGATCCAACATCCTGTTAGGAAACACTCAGAAGAGATTGCCTGGTCAATACTCATTACAGAACTCAGTTCTCGACAGCCAAGCCCACAGGGGAAACCACTGCTAATGGCACAGTCCCACCCCTACCAGTAAAACCCACCCAGCTCTGAAAGCACCTTCAGCCACCTCCCCACACAACACCAAGGGGAAAGATGCACGTGGATGGAGGGGGGCTGTTACCAGCAGGCACAGTGAGGAAGAGATGCGTGAAACCACAGCATGTGGTGTGTGCACAGTGAATGAGGCCTGAAAACTTGTGCTCTGTGCAAGGAAGGGCTCCACGCACGAGAACCAAATGAAGACAGAACTACAGGTTCAAGGGCATTCTAAAAAATAAATGACAAAAAAACAACACCATACCACCTTCACTGAGTGTCTTACTGATCTAAACAAGACTGCTCTGAGATTGCTTGTGGTGCTGTGCCATACCCTGCTAGCACCAGCAGTGTATTTAAGAACAGAGGTCTTCATTAATTTCCTCCACACTTATTTCAGTTTTCAAGAAAAAAAGATCAAGATTAAGTGACAGATTGAGAAGAGATTTAAGGGACTAACGCTTGCCTAGAAAAAGAATAAACACACAAACAACCAAATTAGTAGCTGATACTGGGCTTTACCCAGTATCTCCAGGAGGATCTGAGATGAACCACAAACTGAAAATTGCAAAGGATCTGAACTGGAAGGAGCTGATGTGAAGCGCTGAGGAAAAGGGGCAGGAATGTACCAACTGAGATAAGGATTATAAGAAGATTAAAGAGGAACGAGCCGCGTTCACATGAATTCACTCCCAGTTGTTAAGGAGGAAAAGTGCCCGCGCCTCTTGCCTAGGAGTTGAAGCCTCAGGAGTGGGGCTGCTCCCAGACTCGTTCCAGAGGGCTCAGAGCTGAGCTCAAGCACCAGCATGCACCTGCAGCTCGCTGTGCCTGCCTGCCACAGCCCCCCAGAACAGCCACCTCCTGCTCCCCCTCAGGTCAATTTCTATGCACGGACAGTAGGCAAAGAAGCGCAGTAAGGCCATAAAGCCTGCATTGCAATTAGCAGCGTGGCACCATGGCTTCAGGCCTTTCAAAAACCTCAGGTATAAATAATAGAGGGCAGCAAAAGAGACACACTTTGTCCACAGCGAGGCATAAACAACAGCCATATACAATTCCTGCTACACGGTCAGGACAAATGGGTACCATTAAGGTCAACAATTTATGGAGCTTTGTTTCTGCCGTTTTTTTTATGTGAACAATAAACTAATCTGTCTGCGTTAAACAGTGGGACAGTGGACAGCTGTCATTTTCTGATCTCTGTATCCTAATGGGTTACCTTAGTAACAGCCTTAAGCTGTCTGTTGCCATGGTGAATGAGGTCCATAATTGCTGCAACAGCCCTGGAGGTGTCAAAGTCATCTGCAAACGCAGCCTTCACGTTTACCTTTGTGCTGGCCAGCCTGCAAAGAGGAGAGGCAACATTTAAGATAAGACAAACAAGATGCCAGCAGTATGCTGAATTCATCAGCTATTCAGCCAGATGGAGTCACTGAAAGGACACTGCCATTTCCTTCTTAGCTGCTCTGGGAGATGCTGCACTGGTCAGGAAAGAGCACATTCTGCATCTGCAAAGGGAGAAACTTGAAGCCTGTCAAAATCCAAAGTGTTAAACCTGTTCAATTAACACATCACTAACCAAAGGAACCAGCAACAGTAGAGCAATGCTTGCCTAATCATTTAAAACCACATGGAAAATTCACTTGATATTAAGCACATCAACTATTTGCTAAGCCCTTTTTCCCCCCAGCAGCCCACTTTTTGTGCTACTGGCACATTTCCCTACCAAAGCCCCATCCCACGCCTCGCTCCAGCACTTGACAGGAGAGCTTAACCAGGGCTGCAAACAGTGTTGGCAGCTTTCTCTGGTAGGAAGCCACATGAACTGCACACTGATAGGCACTGACCCCAGGGGCCGTTTCACAATAATGCCCAAGGGGCATGGTTACCTGGGGACCTCCAGCTACTCCAGCTCTCCTGAGGTTCCTCTTTTCCCTGTTTTGTCTGTTGCAGGGTGGTTTTGCTTGGAGTGCCTGCCTCCCTCAGGTATCAGATTGCTGCTACCCTAAACCCATCCCACCCTAAGCTCTTCCCTGTGACTTTGCCCTTCTCTGTTCAGTACCTACCTCTTACCAAAAGTCTGAACCTTGTACCACCTTGGTTGGCTTTGTATTTAAAAATACACAAGCGTTGCCCTCTTACGTTTTCCACTGACAATCTATTCTGATTTCCTTACATGCCTCACACCTCAAAGCCTTATTCCTCACCAAGTGTCCCATAGCCTCCAGCTGAAGCTGTCAAACACTACAAGCAGTTAATTCAGCCTCCCCTTCCTGTAGCATGCTTCAGTGCTTCCTGTGAGCCACAGTGCAGCCACAAGCTCTTCAATAACTACATGCATGCACCACCAAGAAGCTCTCTCCCTTCTACAGCACAGACCACCCTTCCCTCTCACCACATGCCTCAGAGCTGCTTGTACGTGTGTCACTTCAGAGCGTTCACTGCCTTTCCTACTCTGCTTCCAGAGCACCACACTCCTCAGTTTCACACCCAGCAGAAACCACATCTCTCTATCCTGGGAGATAATCCAGTTTTCATAAGAGACTCCAAAGATATTCTCCTTGTCACTGTCAGGGTCCCAACAACCGTAACTTCTTTCCTTACGACATCTGTCTCGGCAGTTTCTGAGCAATCCTTCTGCCCTCTGCCCCACATCAAGCTGTCAGCACGTCTGACTACAAGCTCACGTGCCCAAGGCACATTACTTCCCAGCTGTCCAGTCACTGACACACATTCCTTCTGACATCCTGAGTAGCCTTACAACTTCAGTCACAGATTTTCCTTCTGCATCAGTCAGGAGGTGCAAAAACACCTACATTAGGTCAGGCATACTAGATAAGTAACAAGGATTTCACAGACACAATAAAGCAAGCATAGAAAACTACGAGCAAAAAAGCTGGCAAGGAAGAGAAGGAAAAAAGCCAGATGAGGGGTGGCAGGGAAGATTGCTTCTCAGTCCTTCATCTTGTCCTGCTTCTTCGATAGAACTCAGTAAGCTACAGAGTTCAGCCCTCTAAGCCTGTCAGCAATTTGCAAATCATTGCAAATAATCACAGTCTTTCCATAAAAGAAGCACGCTTACCTTTCCCACAGTACATCTTCTCTAACAGGGTCACACACCAGCTGTCCTTTTATATAAGCATTTGCGTCTCTAATAAACGAGGAGATTGCCTGGAGAATGTTCTTGGCATCATTCATGGTCTCATCACTAAATTCTACAGCTAAGAAAAGAAAAACAAAACCTCTGAGCATTATGACACAGAGGATGTAGCTGTCACACCTAGGCACAATATTCTGACACAGTCAATCCAGCAAAAATGTTTGTTACTCTGTCACAGCAAGCTTTTCTTAAAATTACCTGCACTTCTAATTTTACACCATCCTTAAGTTGCAATAAGTAAATTATGTAGATCAACATACAAGACAACGTATAACATACTGAAAAAGAATCAGACTGTTTTGTTGGAAGCTCACTGAGGCAACAGCGACCTGATTTAAAGCGTTTTCCTGTACTGATGTGTTGGATGTGATGTATTTCTGATCGTCCCCCCCAGATTTAAGCCAGGAGGACACAGCTTTGATCTCCCCCTGAACTCCATTCCTGTTCTAATTTAGGCAGACAAGACCTGTCTTTGGAGATCTCCAAGGGCACCTAACCCTCAGCCACAGACCCTGTGAGGGATACAGGCACTCACAGTTAGAGGACTGCTTCACCAGCACCAACAAATCTAGGACTTGGCAATCTGGATCATACATCTAGTGCAGAATCCAACTACAGTGCCGAAGCTGAGCCAGCCGTACCCATTTGCTAAAGTGACTCCCAAAGAAAATACAGACCGGTGGCACTCATGAGGGCCCACCTGTGCTGGGATGCTGGGATCCATCACACCCAGCTCACACACCGCCCCTTAAGCCCTGCTGACCTGGACTGCTAGCACACTGCCTGATGCCAGTCAGCTCAGCAGGCTTTGTGGGAGCTGAGTGTGCTAAGTGTGCTCCTTCCAACAGCACCACGTCAGCATCAGTCACTTCCACTGAGGGGCCATACACAGTGTAACATCACTTCAATTCTCCATACCTGGGGGGGCCTAGCTGTTTGGACCGACCTCCCATGGGATTCAGCCCAGGAGAGCTGAGGCATAACCCTGGGCTGCGTTTGTCAGATTTTCCACTTGTGTGCAATTAAAAATCTGCATTACTGTCCCACTAACGCTGGCCTTAAAATTCAGCTTTATGAAGCTTTTTAAAAGGCTGAGGTACTGACTTTCAGAGAACGGTGAGGTACTGAAAGAGATCATTGATATCCGCTATGATTACTCAACCCATCGCCCTGGTTACAGGGCTCTGAGGGGAATACTTGATGGAAGTTTATTCTGATGAAGCTTTGATTAAATCCATTCTTCTTTGCTGATTCAGGGCATTCTCCTGAACCGCCACGCACTGCACACACACTGCACACTGCCATTCAAGCTCAGAAAATCTCTTAAGCCTGTTCCAGAGAGCAGCAAAGGGTTTTGGAGGTCAAACCCCAATGCCTACAGCAGCTTCACAGCCCATGAGCAACAGTGAGAGCAAAGCCACACGTGATGGAACGCAAGAGGAAACCCAGTGACTCAGGGTTGCAGGGACAGCATCTCTCCCCACCAGCTGCACCCAGCAGCAGCTGAGAGGACACCACGCACTTTTATTGTGCTGCATTCAGGAAAGGCCATTTCCCAACAGCCTTACATGGACCCAACTATGATTTATACCAAGAAGGGGACACCCACAAGCACCAGGAGGAGAGCACAGTCTAGCACCAAGGCCCTTTCCATCTGACTTTTCCAGCTTTCCTGCACAGGTGAGGCATCCAGCTTCATGCTGCCACAACACAGGGTACTGAGCATGCAACTGATGCCCTCAGAATGAATAAATCAGTAAGTACAGCAGAGAGGCCAGAAATCATTGATGAAAGAAGCATCAGTGGCTGAGCACATTGGCTCTTCTGTAAGGATCTTGTTTCTCCCCAGCACACTGCGGAAATCGATACACAGGGTGAGATGGAGGCAGGGAGCACACGTGGAAGAAGCACACGTGGAAGAAGCACACGTGGAAGAAGCACACGTGGAAGAAGCACACGTGGAAGAGCCGCCCAGCATTTTCTCTCTGTTCCCCTGAGAAGAGGAGCCAACCCCACTTATGTGTCCACTGCTGCAATACCAAACTGCAGCACAACTCTTTCCACAGGCCACGTCAATGTCAAACCATTTTCATTGGCCACGTCTCTAAGCTGTGTGCTTCTACTGCTCAGTAATGCCAGTGTCTGCAGGACGAAGTGACACCGTGTAGGTGCCTGCCCAGCCCCAGGGAACACAGTCTGATCTCCACAGAGGAGCTTTATTCTGGTGGACACCACCTCCACGTTTCAGAGAAGTGCTCTTGGACACTGGCCTCACCAGAGTGCTCCTAAAAGCCTTTCAATGAGCTCACCCTGATGAGACTGTTAATAGCACCCAGCTCCCCAAGCCCATACTCAAGTAAGGATAACACATCCTCCTTCAACGTCTGGGATGGCAGGAAACATCACAAATAGGTTTAGGCTACAGAAACCTTTTTAAGAACAAAGAGGAGGTGCTTGGGATCTCATTTCTGACAAAATCACTCTGGAAGCAGACAGCAAGACAAGGTGGAATGAAGTAAACTTATCTTTGAGCAGAACTGAGCTGACGGCATGGACATTTGCTGACAAACTGCATAACAAGTACCTGACTCTGCCTGCTTATCTGACATAGGTCGTGCCATCAGCATCATATCCTGACAAGGACTGCAGACCTTCCAGCAATTCTTATCTACCGAGCAGCATACTGGCACTGTATTCCAATACACCACCACCACTTCCTGTTATCAAATCTGCCTGGATTTACAAGGTAGCCCTCTGCTTTTATCACAGGAAGACATTTAACCACTTAGAATTGTCACATCCTTCTCATACGCGTCCAGATGCAAGCAGTTCAGGAGCAGCAGAAAAGGATGTGCAGGCACTCACAGGGCTCAGTGTCATTCCTCACCTTGGAGGCAACCCAGACATCAGCTCCTGCTTACAGAATAAATACATGTGTGATAGTGCTGTAAGTCCTAAGCCTTTTTCCTTCATCCTTTGTTTCAGTAACACACTCACATGAGACTCCCACATGCCCCCAGCTGCAGCCCAGCACCACTGGAGCATGCACAATTTATTTCCTCCCGTGAGGAAGGAAGGTATTTAGACAAACAGTTAAGCACTGCCCTTGGTAAAGATGCTTTTCTAAATGTTGGCTTAAGAGCAATCCCACAGGGAATCACAGAACAGCTTGGGTTGGAAGGAACATCAAAGATCATCCACTTCCAATTCCCTGCCCTGGGCATGGCAGCCAACCATTAAATAAGGCACAAGATCAGGTTGCCCAGGGGCTCACCCAACGTGGCCTTGAACACTTCCAGGGACTGTGCTGCCATTGCTTCTCTGGGCAGGGAACATTTCCAGCCACAAGGTGAGAGCTCCAAAACACCCCTGGAAATCCAGGTTGGGAGGAGTGCCATGAACCACACGCACCTTCTTCTTACCTGAGCTGTATCTGCTGCGCAAACAGAACATCCTGAACTGATCCGAGGAGAATTTCTTCAGAAATTCCTAAACCCAACCCACAGAAAGATTATATCATTAGCATCACAGCAACCCGTTTCTCAGTCTGCTATTCAATCCTGTCATACTAGTTTTACAGCACATTTCAGGCAGACAGACTTTACAAAAAGCCCATAATCATACTTGAAGATAGGATTAAAACTTCAAATTAGTGATCTGGTCTAACATCTAAACTGAAGTCTACTGCCATGTACATATAACACAGATGAGTATACATAGATAGAAGACATCAATATACATGAAATCCCAAGCACGAATATACGGCATTGATAAATATTTTGTAATTATGATCAACTGTGCATTAAATAAAGACTTCTGCAGAAAACAAATCCAAAGCTATCAGACCAAAACTAGGATGTGACCTCGCAGGAAAGGACAGCTACCAAGTTTTGCAAAGCTTATGAAAGACTGGAACAAGAGGGCAACTTTTCTGGAGCATGTGAAAGAAAACAGAGTGAATAAAAATAACTCTTTTTTAATGTACATATATATATTGCTGGAATTTATCTATGCTGGCTGCGAAACCTCATTAATCTCACCCTACTGCTTATCTACTTATTTAAAAATAATTTATTACCCCTACAAAGAGCTATTTAAATGCGTGGAAGGTACACTGATAAGACATTCAATCACTCAGCAGCTCCGCTCTCAGCAAGAAGGTTGGACAAGGTGGACGATTAACTGCCACTGCTTTCCTGATTTTTAATTTGGAAATCAGTGATAGGAAGTTTGTAACACTGAAGCACCACTGCCAATACAAAATCATAGGGTGAAGTCAGTGCAAGTAAGAAAATGTGGAAATGTCATTTGCTTAAAGGTGTAGTTTTTGAAATTTAGCTTCTGCTAGCTGCCCAAACACCAAAAAGCCTGAGCATGGAGGGCAGCACGTCAGCACTGTGCAGTCTCTCAAGTGGAAATAGAAGCAACAGAGGCAATCGGGGCAAGCTAAATCAAGAAACAGATTGCAATAGTAAATGGCTGTTTTTAAAATCAACTCTGTGTAACTTGATGTGCTTGGCACTCTCAGAAGCTTTATCACAGAATTGCTCAGGTTGGAAAAGACCTTAAAGATCATGGAGTCCAACCACAAGCTAACCATCCTACCCTAACTCTAACAGCCCTCCGCTAAATCATGTCCCTGAGCACCACATCCAAATGGTTTTTAAACACATCCAGGGATGGTGACTCCACCACCTCCCTGGGGAGCCAATTCCAGTGCTTAACAACCCTTTCTGCAAAGAAGTTTTTCCTGATATCCAACCTAAACTTACTGGCACAATTTGAGGCCATTTCCCCTCGTCCTGCCACCAGTGAGAAGAGACCAGCCCCGCTCTCGCTGTAAGCACCTTTCAGATACTGGAAGAGAGCAATGAGGTCTCCGCTCAGCCTCCTTTTCCCCAGACTGAACAGCCCCAGTTCCTTCAGTCTCTCCTCATAAGGCATATTCTCCAAGCCCATCAGCAGCCTTATTGCCCTTCTTTGGACCTGCTCCAGCACTTCAGTCTCCTGAACGCTAATATGTGGAAGGAAAACAATAATACTAAAACAAGAAAATAAATTCTAATGAGGAAAACTTTGAATTTGGGAGGGAATTTCTAGAAATCAGTTCTGTATTTCATTAAAAACAGAACACGGAGAAAGTACCATAGATCTCCCAAAGCGGGTGGCTTGGCTGTGTATCACCACTAAGCACTTGATTTTGGAGGTCAGAATTAACAGCCATTAAAGAAAACAAGACTAAAACACGAGAAAGAAACACACAGAAAGGGAGAAGGGGGAAGAAAAATAGCGCAGCTGGACAGAGAGCATCAGCGCGGCAGCAGGAAAGGCGAGCCATGCCTCAGTGCCTGCCAGGAATGTGCTCTGTGCTCCTCTGCCACCCCAACAAAGGAAAAGCCGGCGGCACCATCGGAGGCCGTGAATTGTTCAGAGCACACTCACAAAGTTCCACGCAGGGCTCAATGTCCAGCATGCAGGAAGGCCGCATGGGAAGAAATGTGGTTCGCTGGGCTGCAAGTTACTTGCGGGAGAGGATTAATACTTGCTAACCATGTCTAATTGTGAAATTAAAAGACGAGACCAGCATGGGAAGAGAGCTGATCTTGAATTTTTTGTTGTTAAGCACACTGCTACAATTGCTTCCTGCACAGCACTTTCCTCTATGCAAAGAAACGCCACTGCAAAAATAGAGGGGAACATTTCCATACTTTTTCTTCATTGCGCGTGTTGCATTAATGGTCACTTCTCTGTCCTGCCTACACCATCTGCTGAGACACAGAAACTGCTGTGAAAACTGTGAGCAACAGACAATATTGCTGGGGGAGACAGGGCTTAACTGTATAGACAAGACAAGATGGGGAGAATTAAGAATAAAGCAGCTCACGCCAATTTAAAAGGATTGTAACTAGTTTTCCAAGGGCCAGAGGGCAACATATGTGCTGAAACTGCCTCTAAAGCTTTGTCTCAAGGAAGAAAATTACCTGCTTCTAACAATAGGTGCCAGCTATCACTGGAGCCATGTTGGTGTTACATACAGTGCATCACAGATGTGGTGACACAGAAACCCTGCTCTGTGCTGCACCACAAACTTGAGCTCAACCTCTTCATGGACTTTCATGGAAAAAAAGATAACCCAGAAGCTGCTGAATCACTGAACTCTCTCTGGTTAAGGGTTCCCTCTCTCTGACACATCAGAAAGGATATTTTCACACGGCCCGGTGGCAATTAAAGCTCTCCATGCATTAGCAAGGAAGCGACAATAAGAAAAATATAATAAAGGAGACAGGAGACCAGTATTTATGGTCCCACATGTGCTCTCAGCTCAGCCAGATCCAAGTTAGGAACAATCCCTGAGTGAGAGCAGGCTTCCTGCATTCAAATAGGTGCACTAGCCCTAGAAAAAAAAACACTCTGCTTTACTTTCCCTGCAGTATAAGCACATGCTCACATCTTTTCTCAAAATAAGACTGTGGTTAGTATTTAGATATTATGGATACACATTTCTCCAACACACAGATATAGATTACCTTGATTGTTATGTAGTTTTTTAACGACTTAGACATTTTTTCTTGACTTCCTTTAACGTGTAAATGCCCTAGAACAAAACAAATGCATCGGGATAAGTTCGTGTGCTTCTGAATGGGCACTGAACAAGACAAATCTCTGCACTGAGACACTGGAGTCACAGGAGGCAGCAGATGCATGCCAGCCATCTCAATGCAATGCACAAGTTATTGTTCATAACTGTTGCTAGCAGTCCTGCACATCTCCCCGCTCTCAGCTCTAGCTGGGTGGAGTATAAAACAGAAGAAAATGTTATTCAATGAAGAACCAGGGTATGAATAGAAACATTAATAAAGAAATAACAAAGTCCTCATTAATTGAACTGATAATAGATTTTTAAAAAATAAAAAATAAAAAAATAAAAAAAAAAAAACAAGGAAGAATCCTTCTTTCTTCACTGAAAAGTACCTCACCCCTGACTTTCCAGAAATATTTTAAGGCTTTCAAAGGTAGCCCAGTGATAGCACAACACCCTGGAGACCCAGACGTTTTTCTAATATGTAATAATTGCTGGTGGCTATCACACTACACTTTTTTTTTTTAAATTCCAAAACTATTATATTGATACAAAATATCTTGAGCGTACAATTTTCTGCACATTGCCAATTCCAAAACTACCAAATTTACCAAAACTGTGCAAATAGCTGTTCATCACAATGGATTAGACAGGATAAGGAAGACACTCAGATCTGCGTTTCCTAAAGTTCTGTTTTAAAAGATAGCACAGAGCAAGTTTTTGAAAAGCAAAGGGTAGTTTTTACAAGTTGCTTCTCAGAAGCTGCTTTCTGAAAACACAAGTGTTCCTTCTAATACTTACATCTAAAAATCTGACAGCAGCTTGAAGACGTACAAAAAAAGCCTGTGAGAAATATTGTATTTGGGAAATAAAGTCAAAAATGCTATCTGGGAGTCTGCTCAAAGAGGAGCTAGTGAAGGCTGTGGGGAAAATCTGGGCAACACAAGGTGGCCATCCAGATCTTCTACCCTTAAATTGTGTTTCCCTGTTCAGCTCTCAGCTGTGCCCCCACCAAGGACACAGGGCTGTCAGCCACAGCCTCCAAAGTCTGGCATCTCCAGAGCACTCCAGGCAACAAGGAGCACGTCTGCATGGCAATAAGGGCTGCATGCTAATGCTGCTCACCACACCTTCATGTAGGCATGACTCTGACCAGCCCCCATGAAGGCCTTCCATCAGAACCGACTCCTCGTCTGCTGCCTTGGGGAGTTCATCAGATAGAAGAGAAGTACACCCTCTGTCAAGGGTAGCAAAAGATCGGGGGATCCATAGATCCAGAACCAGCTACAAGAAAAATGCACAAGTCAATCAAAACCTCATTTCCATCGTGTTTGCCCTGACCGCTACCAGGCGAGGGCGTTTTCATTACACAGACCAATTTAGGGCCCTAAGCAAAAACATGCCGACTGCCAGAAATACTGCACACCTGCAGCTCTAATGACTCCAGTAAAAATCAACAGACACTTTTGTGAAGGGAAAAGGAATAGCTTGGGTGTGATTTTTTTTTTTCCCTCCTTTTCTAAAGCTGCCTAAATATTGACTGACTTAACTTTTGGCAGCCAAATTTCAAACGACTTGGCCATGATTTCCTAGGAAAGTATCAGTAACATCTGAATTTGAAATAATACTCCTCTTCAAGTGTTTCAGTACTTAAAGAGAATGATTTCATTAAAGAATCACAAAATATAAGGATTTTCATAACTTTGGCTTGGAGCTTTTCCCAGAGTACAAGCAGTCTAAAAATAAAGTCCTTATAAGAAGATTTATCCCCGGTGCAGGGGATTTTCTTCCTCTAATGGGGATTGCTCCTCCAATTCCGTGCCTGCTAAAATTCTGAAGTCTGTTACCAGAATAAACTGTTTCTGAAGCTGATTCGTTTGCCTTAAATAATTCATGCTATCGTCCTCCAGCACAATTTTTTTGAATTAATGAACGCAATCTGTCAGCTCCTAAAGAACCTCAGCATTCAAACTGCTCTTGCAATCAACATTTTCTGGTTTTTCTTTTCTGAGAAATCTTCAATCCTCTTCAGTTTGTTTCAAAGAATACTCCCCCTGTAGTGATGAGTCCAAGCTCAACAACTCGGACTGACTGCTTTGTTTAGCAGAAGGCTTCAGCTGGCAGTGCATCTCAGTAGAAGCGCAGAGAAATCCCCAGCACGGCAGGAGTAAAGCACACCCTGGAGGATGTACCAGCCTCTGGACAATTTCTGTTGACTTATAACAGCCTCTGCATTGGGAACTGAAACTAGAATTTAAAATTCATCCCAAACTGTACAAACAGATACATATTTACACACACACACACACACACACAAAAAGCCAGACTAATTCCCAGAGTGTACCATAGGCTGCACAACTTGTGCTCAGACAAGTAACTCAAAAACTTCAACAAGAGATGTTGCACAAAGTATTGTTCAGTAAGAAGAGAAAACATAGACTGCAGTTGATTTTCTATTGCCTTCAGTACTTTGAAAACCATCCAGAACCACTACAACTACAACAGGAAGTATGAACTTCAAGGTTTCTAGCAGAACAACACCACCAGTATGATCATAAAATGATGTAGTTCAGAGCACTTCGCAGCAGAATCTTCACTGAAGGACATCATATGAGGTGGCAGGGAACAGTTTTACACAACACCAAGCAATATCATAATGCCAAAGATTGAGTGAGTAAAAGACAATTTGGCATAATTTAGTCAGGTGTGAGCAGTAAGGTCACTTCTGGGGGAAGACAACAGATATGTAGAGGATACACCAAGACCAAGGTCAAGTTGAGTCAGTCACTCTCTATAGGATAGGCAGAGAGTTGGGCACCAGTGAGGAGGGTTAAGGGACTACGGTGACATGCCTCACTGCCTCTGCTCTTCCACAACACCGAGGGCTGGATGGGGCCCCGGGCAGCCTGGTCTAGTAATAAATGTAGATGGAGGTTGGTGGCCCTCCCTGTGGTGGGGGGGTTGGAGATTCATGATGCTTGAGGCCCTTTCTAACCTGGGCCATTCTGTGATTCTGGGAGGGGTGAGTGACTTGGTCTAGATGTAGCCCATAGGTGTTACATACCTCCTTCTACTTTCCCAGCAGCAACTTCTTCAATCGTGCCCGAGCAGACTCAACCAAAGTGTCTGACTCACTCAGTCCTCAGTATTATTAATTATGTGTCTTACTCATCACTCAATATAATGCTACTGGAGTATTTAAAGGAGAAGAATATATTTATAAGAGCTTCTCAGGATAATTTACATAGTTACAGATATGTGAATCACATGTTCAAAACTTTCAGTTATTAGTCACTAGAGAATATGTTAGGTTTTCCCCACATTTCAAACCATGCAAAACATCTCAACCGAGATGCTTGTCTGCAGGATCACTGCTGTGAGCTTGGTTGGTTCGTTGGTTTGTGCAGCTTTGCATCCACTCTGTTCTCATCCTCCAGTAGTATGATGTCTTTTCCCTATCATGATTAAAGCCTTTTACCATACTTACTATTTAGCTCAGCACTCTACTTAAAACTTCCTTTCACGCCCACAAACAACTGGTACTGAGACAGATTGGAGAACTGGAGTGGTTTATTCCAGTTTCAAAGCTTTTAAAATATTATGATCAGTTACCTGTCTATCTGGCACCTTCATTCATCCGTCTCCAGATACTGAAGGTTCTATCTCTAAGACAGCAGGAATTTCTACTTTCAGAAGAACATACAGAAAAGCTCAATTATTTCCACTCCCTTTCTGCAGGACTGTTATAACCAAAATAAAATTTGAAAAGAGACTCTACCATAAGCATAAAAATTCTGGAGAAATTCAAATGAAAGAGACTTGCAGGAAGAACTCCTCTTTCCACACTTTTCATTGGGAGTAAACACTGTATGTGGGTAATGCACACACTGTTATTACTTGGAGACTGATTCGGATGATATTTCACTATTTCACTGTAACCATTTCATAAATAAAGGTGTTCACTGTACAATTTCAAGATTCACTCTCATTTATGCTTCTTTGTTTAGTGAGGACAGAACCCGGCCGCTGTAGTACAGCATCTATTTGTAAAGTTTCCCTCATATTTCATGCCACAGAAATGGCAAAACTACAAAAATGAAATAAAATTCCCTAGAGCTCTACATGCCTCATGTCCATATCATCAGGTGATGAATACTTTACTTACCAGAATGCAAAAAATAATTCCCCCACTGCTCACACTGATGATACACCTCGCACTGCGCAATTTCATTTTCATGATGAGGAAATGCGAGATCTATGCCACCGGTATGGATGTCCAGCTGCTTTCCAAACACTGCACTGTAACAATATTTTCCTGATCGGTAAGTAGAACACTACAAAAACTTGTGGTAAAAAAGAGAAAAAAAAAAGATGAAGCAATATAAATATGTTATTTAATGACTCTAATGTAATGTCAAGAAAGAACTTTTCAGATTTTGGATCAGATCTTGGATATCAAAATTGCAGCAGAACTATGTGTATGAGCACGACCATATCTGCCCACAATGAGTTTTCCTCGGCAGGAATGATTATTTTTTCTAATTTAGATTAAAGATTGACAAGCAGGACATCTCTTTTCCTTGTCCTGCTACGGTATCAGACAGCTGCCTTCATCTGCAGGCAAAATAACTTCAGTGACAACTGCTTCCTCAGATTTGGTATTACCATTCTTGTTATTACCATTTTGTACCCGTCAGGCCACCCAGAGCAGGATGCCCAGGGCCACGGCCAGGTAGCTGCTAGAGACCCTCAGAGAGCAGACACCACAGCCTCTGTGCAGCCTCTGCAGCACTCCATCATCTGCACAGTGCAGAAGTACCCCTGGTGTTCAGAGCGAGCTTCTACATTCCAGTTTGTGTCCACAGCCTCTTGTCCTGGCATTGGGTCTCACTGAAAGGAGCCTGGCTATGTTCTCTGTGCACTGTTCTTTCAGGGATTTATAGATATAAATCTGTACTGTTTGATACACTTTTAAACCACCTCAGTTCGGGCAGAAGAAGATAAGAAAATCAGAAGAGGAAGACAGTGTTCCTGTAGCCATTTTGAAAGCCCGTGCCTCTCTGCTTCTTTCTGCCTACTTGAAAATCAGATTAAGCACGGATTTCTGGAGACCTCATCTTGCCTGTGGAAGCACAGCGCATCCCATTGTCAGTGAAGGTCCAAAAAGGAGACCAGATCAAAGTCACATCAGATGGTTCCCTTCTGCAGGACTACACCAGTGACCATTGCTCCTCTGTCACCTTCCTACACATGCACATCAAAGATATTCCAAAATTAATTCACCTAGCTCCAAGTGCTTGGAGATCTTCGGCAAAAACAGACAAGGAGTTATTGCTTAAAATTAGAACCTGACAGCCGACTGTGACAGCAAAACACTTTACATAACTTAAAAGTCTAAGTTTCCCATTTTCCACAGTCCCAGATTACTACACTTACACTCTCTGCATGACTCTACATCTATTTCCACGGCGAGAGCCGCATCCAGACACAGCAAAGGTAAGTTTTTACAGAAAGAGACAGATACTTTAAGTAGCATCACAATAGCAGATATGCAATTTTGTAAAGGGTTGTTATTTCTTATTTGGAGTGCACTTGTGTCACAGGCTGCACTTTAAATGCAGCACACTTCTGTGTACTTCAGTTGCTTTAAGCGCTGTTCCATAGTGCAGAAATTGTTTAGTGACATAAAATCTCTTTTTCTAAATGCTTTTCACTATCAAGCAGTAATTACTAACAACCTTAGGTATACCAGCACAGCCTGTGGAAGAGAAAACTAAAGCAGTTGTTCCACATGCTTTCAGCTTAGGTTCCAAACATTCAAGAGAAACCAGCTCAGGTCTCAATAATTTCTTATTAGCTTCCAAAGAAGACTTGAAAGTAATGAAAGCTAAGTACCATCATCAATCTTTCAGGATGAAAAAGAGTTAAAGAGTCTTTTCTAAACACAAATTAATCGGTCATAAATTAGAACTGCACTAAACAAAGTACTACTATCCTGTGGAGTAAATAAAACAAAATTCCAAATTAAGAGCAAATTAATTTAAACCAGCTCTAAACAAACTGCTACCATGCACAATTTGCATCATGCTCACAGAATATACTGCCACAAAGAAAACAGAATATGTAAAACTGCAGCTGACTTTTAAAGAAAGCTGTGTAATGAGAGATGTAATTAGCACACACATCCACAACTGCTGCTAAGACAAGGCCAGCAAAATCTTCTATGTTCAGTGGAGCTGGGATGGAATTCCAGGCCCTGTCCTCCTCATACTGCACCACAGACTTGATCAGGTTCGCTATGGATTGCAAAAAGTGGAAGACAGATGAAAGACACACTGTAACTTTTATGAAAATGCTGGTTACTCAGTTGAAGCTAAAAGACTCCCTAATCAACTATGTGATCCTGTGTGGCTTATTTTAAATGCTCACTTTTCTCTCAAAAGAGAAAAGTGACAAAATAAAACCAGATGCTGCTCCATCAAGGCAGAGGAGGAAGATTTGTGCCACACTCAAAATCCCCAAACTGGAGCAAATAGATTAAAACTGGTTCTTTCTACTGATGAGAAGAAAAAAGCAGCACTGCTGCTACCATTGCACTGTAACTGAAAACAAGAAACGACAATGGATTTTAAATACAAGAAATCTGACCTTGATATCGTGGAGCATTCAATGTGCCACCCAGGTCTTCCCTTTCCCCAGGGAGAACTCCAGGATAACTCTTGAGGTTTGGCAGCTTTCCACAGGGCAAAATCTCTACCGTGCCGCTTATCCGTATCAACTGCCACAGAAAAGAGAGTGGTTAATGGGACATGCCTCAGAAAAACACAGTGAACAAATGAAAGAAAGTAGAATTGCATGCTTAGTGAACTACTCAGATTTTATTCTCTTTGCCCAACTTTTCCTCCATCTTTTTTCTTTTCCTGCTTATACTGGGTTTCCAGTCTTCTCATCCTGTTTAAAAAAAATTATATATTATGTTGAATCTGATTTCTGCAGGCTAAGAAGATGGATAAGCATCTGGATGTAAGAGTCTTTAATACATCCAATCCTTCCAATCCTTTTGGCCTTCTCCAGTCTTGTATCGCCCATTTGCTTACTTATCAACCAGTTTCCTAGGACAAACAGGTTACATTGCAGCAGCAGAATTTAAAAAAATCCTTCAATACTCAACATTGTTCATCTGTTTTATCAGCAGATAGAAGTTAGATTTACTTCTTTCCTCTGCTTCTACCAGATCACTAACAAAAACACTGTGCATGACTGGGACTAATCTCATCCCCCTAGCACTCCAGCACCAATATATTTTTGGAGCTCAGATGGTCACTTTTCTCAATCTATTCTAATTGCACTTTATTGATATTACATAGAATCAGTTTTAATTCAGAATGTCATGCAATATTAAGTAAAGCACTTTACAAAAATCCATTACACCTGCTTTATCATTCAAAATTGATAAGAAATAAAGGATAGAAACACAGCCCAAATTTTATCTAGTGAATCTTCACCTTGGCTCTTTCACTATCTTGCCAAGCCCTGGCTGATTTGTGCCTGTTGACTCCGTGTCTCTCTTGATTTTTCTCAGTATATTTCTACAAAAAAAAAAAAATCACTCTTTGTCTACTCGGTTATAAACTCAATAACAGACACAGAATCTTCAGAGACTGGAGTAAATTTAGTAGCAAGTGAATTGAAGGGAAACAAGGTAAAACATGAGCGGTTGAGGCTCAGGGGCACCTCTGGAGAATGTCTTGTGCAACCACCTGCTCAGTGCAGGAGGCTCAGGGTCACATCCTGTGGAACTGTGAGCACCCTCAAGGGAAGAAACTCCACAACCTACTGCTAGTATCTTCTGCCCAACTACACTCTTGTTAATACTGTATGCAGAAAGCCTGTGAAGGCAGCAGGTTTAACAGCGCAGTGAAACACAGCACATCCCTAGCCATACTCACTGGGGACCCCTATGCTACTAGGTGCCTGCAGCTAGTCAGGGAGATGTTTTCAGCTTGTCAGGAACTGCTCTATAACACAATCCCTTTGTGTGCTTTAATGATACAACTCCAAAGCAAAGCTGTAAAAAAGCTTCCGGCTGCAGCTCACTTGAATATCACCTCCTGGGCATTCTCAGGAATTGCAAACAGAACATTTTCAATGAAGACACAGTGAACTTCAGCACACAAAGCATGCAGAAGATCTGTCTTAAACTCTCCTACACAGAGACTTGACCATAGCTGATTTACAGAAACTACAGAGAGGATCAGCAATCGTGCTCAGCAAAACTGCAGCGAAAATAGAATACAACCAAGGGTACAGGTGTATGTTACCACAGCCCACCAACAGAGCTCATACAATCACTCTGCTTGACAGTAGTGGTAAGCAATGAAAGATGTGAATGCATCTGGTTAGTGCACACCAGTAGGGTGCAACTGCACAACTACAACAAGGCAGGTGATGTTTCTCCCTGCCAATCCTCACTGCTGCCTAGCGTGTGGGCTGAGAGCATCACCTCACTACTCAGTCTGTATGTATTGCTCCAAGGATTTAAATAAAATTGAGAACCACAACTGTTTTAAGGCACTGGAACAAAAGTGGAGAGAAAAACCAAGCATAAAAAGACACCACTAAGCTTCCTCTTGCACTGGCAACACCTCAGTAAGTAACTACTAAAACAATGATGTTCTGCTTAACTGAAAAAGCTGTCTATATACAAGTTAAAAAACCGCTTCAGACTGTTGAATGAAGGTTTATATATCAATACATCATGAGTTCAGACAAAGCATTAACACAAATTGCTACCAAGAACTTACCTGCTTCACTTTGTGTATCAGCAGAAACAGCAGTTAATACTCCATACCTTTCTCCCCAAGACTTGACATCAAAATAAACATTGCCTAATAGAAAAGAAATATTTAGCTTCACAGTAAAGATGGGGAACGTTCACTGTTGATACAATGGAGACGAAAGCAGAATAAAACACCCTTGTACTTCCATTTGAAATTCAGAAATGCTACAGCAGTAGCAGCCCACATTTCTTTATTATTAGCTTTCCAGTAACCTAATTTACTCATTTTGCACTGAAGATAACGTTGTTTTCTGGAGATCCCCCTGGGTTCTTCCCAGGACAAGTGATCCATCCTGAAGCATTACCTATACTGTTCCTGTTACAATACACTTAACACTCTTCTACAAGCATCAGCTCTACTAAAAATTTCCCACACGCTGTTTGCAGGTATGACTTTTACAGTACATAGGAGACGTCCAACTCCTGCTCAGAGCTAACAGAGCTAACCCCCAGCTCCCTCAAAAACCTAGGCCAGGGCTTCCCCACAGGAGCTGAAACAGCAGCTTATTACAATAAACATTTATGTTCAGTATTGAATCACTTCTTGTTTAGATATTGACTCAAGAGTTGTTCTGCACAGTTGCATCGTAACAAGCAAGTTGCTCACACCATGATAATCAACATAAGGAAAATCTGGTACAGCATATCTCATCTGACCCCAAAACAGGATCCCTTTGAGTGCTTGCTTTCCATGCATGTGAGTTGCCTTGCTACAAATCTTACCTTGTGAAGTTGCATAAGCCTGCCCGTTAGCAATTATTGTCTTTATGAAGGAAATTATCTGAGGAATGTTTTCAGTCACTCTCATATATACTGTCGGAGGAAGGACCTTAAGTAAAGAAATTGTAACAGTTCATCAACCCACACGTAATGCACTGCTGACAAGCCACTCCAAATTAAGAAACTGACTTTAAAGAACATCTGTTCTAATCTTTATCTTAGCAAAACAAACAAACAAACAAAAAAACCCTGTGAATATCGTAAGGTCACAAGCAGTACTTAACATGTAGATAATATTAAAATGAAATTGAGGAAGAGACAGATATAATAAATAATCTGCTAGCTTTCACCAGAGGCTTACTCCCTGCTTCTGGACAAGAAGCAAAGTCATCTGCAATCAAAGAATGAATATTAGATGCTTTATATACTTCAGGTCTGGATATTCCTGCATGACAGTAAACACATATTATCTATAAATCAAGACCTTATTACACAGAGTGGAAAGTCTGTGTTCCTTCACAAATTTAACTTGTGACCCCTCTTTTAACCCCTCTCTGAATACCCAAGTTTTGCTTCCTTTCCCATTCTTAACACAAAAGATGTGCAATACAAAGCCTTTGTCTTCTCAGAAGAATGAAAAAGTAAAACACTACCCAGTCACTGAACAACACTTCATAAGACAAGCAACCAATTGTTTTTTTTCCCCCTCAGATCAAACTGTCAAATTCAGATTCCTGACCAAAATAAGTGCTTGGAAAGATTCTAAAATGCAGCAGCTCACGTATCTGTACCTTTAATGATGCCATATCTTGTTTAAAGTCTTCTTCATACATACGAGCAAGAGCTACTGGCGATATATTCATCTGAAAAAAAAGATTAGTAAATCAAAATAACAACATAAAGTACCACAATCTTTTATCAGACAGTTAACAGCTAATTGGCAGAGCCCCCAAGGTAACGAGGCAGAGAGGCTTATTAATCTAACTAACATTCATGAGGAGGCAATGCCAGCTTTTATAACTTCAGAGCAGTGTTTCATCTAGACTTCCAAACTGCCAAAATATTACAATGTCTTTTAAGAGAAAGCAACCAAATATTAAAATAATGAATTCTTTCCCTCCTCTTAAGAGGGTCATATTCCATTTCCAGTGACAAGATATACTACAGCACATGGATATAAAATGCATTCCACCTACTGTCAAGGGACACTGATACCACCAATGTGTCAGAAAGACAGACCAGAGACTTGTAGGATGAGTCAAGATATTAATTTGCAGCAATTAAGAAAAATAAAATATTTCTGCTGATCATTACTCACATACTTCAGTACAATCAGGAAAATTAACTGAGAGCCAGTTCCATATTTTTCCAGGTATTTCTCAAACACCTCCACATTGCTCATTCACGGACTGACTGACAGAAACAGGAGTGCTCACAGAAATGCAATCCAAAAGGAAAGGGGCAATTTAAACATGACAAGACACTTGTCTCAAACGTTCAGAATAGGCCAGGACTTGAAAGACACGTGATGGCAAATCCTGTCCCAGCAAGCAAAAGCATGATATGATAGCATATATGCTCTCGTGAGACCCCACCTGGAGTACTGCATCCAGTTCTGGAACCCCCAATGCAAGAAAGTAAGGGAGCTGTTGGAGCAGGTCCGGAGGAGAGCCATGAAGATGATCAGAGGGCTGGAGCACCTCACCTACAAGGACAGGCCAAGAGAGCTGGGGCTTTTCAGCCTGGAGATGAGAAGGCTCTGGGGGACCTCATAGCAGACTTCCAGTACCTGAAGGGGCCTACAGGAATGCTGGGGAGGGACTTTTTGTAAGTAAAAAAAAACAGAGGAAATGGTTTTAAAATGGAAGAGGGTGGATTTAGAGTAGATATTAGGCACAAATTCTTTACTGGGCAGGTGGTGAGACACTGCGACAGAGAGGCTGTGGATTTGCCTTCCCTGGAAGCATTCAAGGCCAGACTGGATGGGGCTTTGAGCAACCTGTTCTAGTGGGAGGTGTCCCTGCCTATAGCAGGGAGTTGGAGCTACATGATTTTAAAGGTCCCTTCCAATCCAAACCATTCTATGATTCTATATGAGAGCATCTCAGATCCAAGCTTTTACATCTTCTCTGAGTAAAACCTACCAAGGAGGAGCCAACAGACTGCCACTCTCTCCAGCTTACACATAATCAAATCATTAACACAAGAAATCCAAATTTTTTACTAGAGGATCTTTAAGGGGTGGGTATCATATCTGAACAAGCTGGTCTAGGTGGGAGTTCTGATAAAAGACAGATATGATGCTCATCCAGCAATGGAAGGAGGAAGATGCTTCAGCACTGAGGCAAAGCCATGCTTCTGCCTGCAGACCAGACAGAGAACTCTTCCTGTGATGTGGTTCATCTCAACAAGCAACTCAGATGCTTCTTTGATCAACAGAAAGACATTCACTGGGAGACAAGGAAATCCCTCCCATCCAAATGGGCACCCAATTTATCTCTTCCTCAAAGGACCACGGGGGGAACGGAGCACTCTCCTCACAGAGCAGATGCCCAAGTTTCAGATTCAGTATAGATGAGTCCCACCAGAGGATGGACAACACAGTCAGATACATTGATTCTGGTGTCGTAATGTTTCAGATACAGAGGTCCCAAACAAAACGTGCACAAAAGGGCAAGTATTTCAAAAAGAAAAAATATCCACATAGAAGATTTCCACATAGAGCCAAAGAATGGAATAACTGAACATACTACCTTCAAAATAAAATCCCATGGGGTTCTGACAAAGAAAAAAATGTCAAATACATGCATATAGATTTTAAAAGGTTGTGGCTTTTTGTTGTTGTTAGAAAGTACTGGTCTTAAAAATAAAACCTGCAAATGAAGTTTCTAAGGGAACAAAAATATATTTCTTAGAAGAGAGCAGTGCTAGCATTCTTTTCAATGCAGTACTGCAAGAGTAATCATTTATGTAAGGAATAAATAAAGTGATACCTGTCAAATTATCTGGCTCAAGCATAAGACTTGCAACTGTAATTACAGTTCACTTCATTCACAATCCAGATTTCAAAAACCAATATTATGTTTATTTAAAAGAAGTTTATAAAGCAGAACACATTTGTGGCATTTTACAGTCCAAAAAACATTAAAAAAAGAAATTGGAATAGTCATTCACAAGCTCAGCTGTTACAAAAGATCTGATTAAAAACCAACTAGGGGCTACTTACAGCCATAAAGCCTTTAATTAGGCCAATAACTCTAAGAATTCAGTGAAAAGTTGGATTGTGTTGATGTATTTTTTTAATTCACAATTTTTGTATCGATCTTGCCACCGAGCCCCAGTCTTGTCAAGACTTACCCAAAGAAGGTGCTGACTTTGTAGCTAGATGGTGCTCGGCACCTTTTAGGAACTGCTCTCAACCTTGTGTATCATCACTTACATGCTGTCTTTAACAATCAGTGACACAGAAAACAGAACTCTGCTGGCTGAAAGTTTCAGTTCATTTCAATTCTAGTAAAGGGACATCACGGCTTTTTATTTTCCACTGCCTTCCAGACAAGGCATGAGGCTGTGAGGCCCACTGCCTCAGGTGCAGATAGAGGGCTAGAATCCCAAAATTTCTTATCTAAATTAAAATATATATATAGTACTAAAACAACAAACAAATGTAGAACATTTCCCTATATAACTAGCAGTAGGACGTACCAAACGTTTGGGTCTAAAGCTGTAGCATTATATACCTACCTCATTGGCTCTTTTTATGATCTTGTCATCTATGTCTGTAATCCCCATCACCATGATAACTTCAGTTTCAAAAAAACGAGTCAGTATCCTTCGGATTATATCAAACCTAACATAGGAGCTGGAAAAGAGAAAGAGGAGCTTTTAGAGATGCAGTAAATATGAATAAAACTCTGGAAAAAAATGACAGCTGTACAGATACCCCAAATACCCAAATACTTGCAAAAGAAGGTCTCAAGTACATAAAATGCTTTTCCAAAATTAATTCCAATCTGCACAGAAGTCAAGTAAATTTCAGTTGAACTGCTCTACCCTCTTCTGGCATTAGTGACACATTACAGCAAATTTTCCCCATTCTCTTGCATCTCTTTATGACAACAATGGGGTACTTTTGAAACTGCCTCTTAAGCAAAAGACTCTTCCAAAGAACACAACGTGACATATAAGCTGATCCTAAAAAGAAAACCACCCTAGTCTGTATGCTACCAGGTTCTCAAAGCCCGCAGCCCACAACATGGAGAAACAAACCAACTCACTCCAACATTGCTCACAGATGAGTGGTAGCTACAGATACAAGCACAGCTATAGTTCATTAACACATCACCACAGATCTTTTCTGACAGCAAAGAAGAGTTGCTCTGGGAGGTTATTTTATAATAAATTTGAGTTGTTAAAATGAGTTTTTTAGACTCAAGAATAGATTTTCAGCACCATTCAGGCTCTACATGACAACAATGAATATTCAGTGTGGACAGACAGACCCACATACAAGTGGTGCCTCCTGTTGTCATGGGCTCTGCATTCTGAATTCTCAAAACACGCTTCAATTGGGTAAAGCCCAGCTTCTGTGAGAAATAAGAAAAGGTGACTGCAGGCTCTCAGTCCATTCTGCAAGACCAGGAGAAATCTCAGCCTCCTCTGGTTTTGAAGAAACCCAAGTGCACTGCACCTGCAGGATGGAGTAAAGGAAACCTCAAGACCTGCAGCTCTCCCAGTGCCCTGGCTGGGATGCACCCCCAGCATCTGTCAAAGCAAATACGTGTAGGAAAACACCATCAGTGGATCTGTACCCTTTTCCTCAGCTGCAGATATCAGTTAGCATTAAGAGACACAGACCTGCTGGAGTAGGTCCAGAGGAGGACAAAAAATATGATCAGAGGGCTGCACCACCTCTCCTATAAAGAGAGGTTGAGGGAGCTAGGGTTGGTCAGCCTGAAGAAGACTCCAGGGAGACTTCACTGCAGCCTTCCAGAAAAAGCCTACAGGAAAGATGGGGAGGGAGCATCAGGGAGTGTAAAGATAGACAAGGAGCTTTAAACTAACAGGCAGTAGGTTTAGATTAGGTACAAGGAAGAAACCCTCCAAGACTAGGGTTATGAGGCACCAGAACAGGCTATGTAGAGAAGCTGTGGATGCCCCATCCCCAGAGGTGTTCAAACCATAGAATTGGATGGAGAGGTGTCCCTGCTCATGGGGGTTGGAACGGGATGGTCTTCTAAGGTTCCTTCCAAGCCAAACAATTCTGTGATGATTTCAGCATGTGCAGTATCTTAATAAAGAAAAATACATTTCTGATGTTGTTTGCACTGTGTCCATATTAGAAAAAGGCCTTTTGGAATGTGCCACATGCTACCAGGGAGACAGCTGGTATTAATGAATACCAGCTCACCGGGAGCAATATTCATCTCATGTCATGACACTATTCCAGAAGAATATTAAATTATTCTTTGGATCTCTTTCAAAGGGACAATAGCAGAATCAAAAAGCTTAAAATCAGATTTAACAGTGCTGCAGATTTAATTTCCAGAGCACATACAATCTCTGGGCTGTTCTCTCCCCTCTGATCTTCTAACTTAATCGATGGAAGAAGCCCTGAAATAGCCTAAGTAAATCTCAGAAAGCAGGCTCCTTACAACTTCAGCATCAAACTGCAAAGAAGAAAGCAGTTCAAAAGAAGTAGGTGCTCCAGCAGCCCAGAAAGCTAACTACACCGTGGGCTGTATCAGAAGAAGCATGGTGAGTAGGTCGAGGGAGGTGATCCTGCATCTCTACTCTGCACCGGTGAGACCTCACCTGGAATACGGTACTCAGATGTGGAGTTCAATACAGGACAGACGTGGACCTGTTGGAGTGTGTGAAGAGGAAGGCCACAAAAATGATCCAAGGGATAGAACACCTTCCCTATGAGGACAGGCTGAGAGAGCTGGGGAAGAAAAGGCTCTGGGAAGATGTAGTGGCAGACTTTCAGTATCTAAAGGGAGGCTAAAAGAAAGTTAGGGCCAGACTCTTTAGTGGGGTCTGTTATGACAGGACATAGGAAAACAGTTTCAGAATAAAAGAGGGCAGATAAGGAAGAAGTTTTTTCACAGTAAGGGTGGCGAGGCATTGGCACAGGTTGCCCAGAAATGTAGTGGATACCCCATCTCTGAAGACACTCTAGGCCAGGCCAAAGGGAGCTCTGAGCACCTTGATCAATTGGACTAGATGACCTTACAAGTCCCTTTCAATTCCCTATGATTTTTTGGGGGTGCCACACCAGGAAGAATAGCATGCAGGATTTATCATAGAATCATACAATGGCAACAGTTGGAAGGCACCTCAAGGATTATCGAGTTCCAACCCCCCTACCACAGGCAGGGCTGCCAGCCACTCAACCAAGTACTAGATCAGATGGCCCATGGCTCCTCCACCCAACCTGGCCTTAAACACTTCCAGGGATGCGGCACCCACAGTCTCTCTGGAAAACCCGTTCTAGCACCTCACCACTCTCTCAGTAAAGAACTTCCTCCTGACATCTAATCTAAATCTCCCTTTAGTTTAAAAACCATTCCCCCTTGTCCTATCACTATCTACACGTGTAAAAAGTTTATTTCCCTCCTGTTCATAAACTTCGAAGGTCACAATGAGGTCTCCCTTCAGCCTTCTCTTTTCCAGGCTGAACAAGCCCAGTTCCTTCAGCCTGTCTTCACAGGAGAGGTGCTCCAGCCCTTGGATCATCCTTATGGCCCTCTTCTGGACCCTCTCCAAAAGCTCCACATCTTTCCTGTGTTGGGAGTCCCAGCCTTGTGGTATTCCCAAAGCTGAGGCCTCATGAGGACAATCACCTCCCTGTCCCTGTTGACCATTCCTCTTCTGATAAAACCCAGAACACCATTGGCCTTCCGGGCTGCAAGCACACTCCGCTGGCTCACTTTCAGTTTTTCTTCAACCACAACCTTAAAGTTCTTCTCAGCAGGGCTACTCTTAAGGAGCTCTTCTTCCAGCTCGTATACATATGTGGAACTACCTCGACCTAAGTGCAAAACCTTGCACTTTACTTTGTTAAACCTCATTAGATTCAGAAGGGCTCATGTTTTGAGTTTATCAAGTTCCTTCTGGATGGCATCCCTTCCTTCTGCTGTATCAACCGCACAGCTCAGCTCAGTGTGATCAGTTCACACTTGCTGATGGTGATCCCATCATCTATGTTAACTTGATCCCATCATCTATGTTACTGATAAAGATGTTAAACAGTACCAGACCCAGGACAGACCCCTGGGGAACAATGTTTGTTACCAGCCCCAACCCAGAAATAGAGCCAATGACCACAATCCCACGGCTGTGATCTTCCAACCAATTCCTTATTCATCAAGCAGTTCGCTCTTCAAATCAATTTCTCTCCAATTTAGAAATAAGGATGTGGAGGGGACCTTGTCAAAGGCCTTGCAGAAGTCCAGATGACTTCATGCCTTCACTTTTAGAATTCTTGTGATGAGATCAGATGCTGCAAAGGTGCAGCACAATGAGGGACTTCTGTAGGAAGGACACCACAGCAAGAGCTATCGCTCCACTTGACTTCATATTTATTCCCAGTATGCTTCCTGGCTTGTAGACTCTCAGCAGCAGCATTCCTCTCAGCTGTGCCAACCAATGCAATATCCTTACAGCTCTACAGGTGGGCCTAGCAATTGGTAAAAAAAAAAAAAAAAAAAAAAAAAAATTAAAAATACAATATAGAATCATAGAATATTCTGAGTTGTAAGGAACCCACAAGGATCATCAAGTCTGGCTCCACATAGGACCACTCAACAATCAGACCACATGGCTGAGAGCAGTGTCCAAACACTCCTTAAACTCTGGCAGTTTGGAGTCGTGCCCACTGCCCTGGGCAGCCTGGTTCCATGCCCACAACCTCTGGTGAAGAATGCTTTCCTAATCCCCAGCTGCCCCTCCCCTGACAGCTCCATGCCATTCCCTTGTGCCCTGTCACTGTCACAGAGAGCAAAGCTGCCCCTCTGATAATAACAATAGCAGCAATAATAATAGTAATAATAATAAAGTATGTTCTGCCATCTAGAACAAAGCAGCTGAGCAACAAAATGCCAAAACTGACATATGCATGACTGCAGACACTGGAAGGAATGGTTAATGCCTCTCTCATTGAAGGGTTCACCTGATCAAAAAAGAGGATGATCTTCAGTGCAGGCACCTCACTCTACCATAGGAAACAACCCATGAAGGCACTAAAGAGGCAGCAACAGAATGGTAATGCTGCTGCTTATCTGCATGACACACTGCTTTGGGTGTGACATTCAGCCCCACCTGTTCTTTCATACAACAGTAACTGAAGCTTGGAAGTGGTAGTTTGGGCACAGGATATAAAGATATGGGTAGGGCTTCCCTTCAATCACAATAAGATGGAGAACCGCTGACCAAAACCGGCACTCAAGAGATGCAGAATGATGTGAGACCAAAACGTGTGGTTCTCTGCCCTGCTAAATGAATAGGCTCCCCAGGGAGGTGGTTGAGTCACCATCTCTGGGTGTGTTTAAAAACCATTTGGACGTGGTGCTCAGGGACATGATTTAGCAGAGGGTTGTTAGAGTTAGGGTAGTACGGTTAGGTTGAGGTTGGTCTCGATCTTTAAGGTCTTTTCCAACCTGAGTGATTCTATGATTCTTAGCTGCTCCACCATCCTGCTGTGCAAGCTCTCCTTCCTCAAAACGAAGTTTCATCAGTGATACTCCGTTAAAGGAGCATCACACACACCCGAGCAGTACTAGCAGAAGAGAGTAAGACGAAGATGAAAGAACTAACAGCTGCCATATCGAGACTCGAACAATCCACTCTGTCAAAATCACACCGACACAAAAGGAGGGTCTCCTCCGCTACCCGCCCAGGATACCCGCAGCCCCCCGCACTCACCAGGCGTGCCCGAGGTGCGCGTGGTCGTACACGGTGGGCCCGCAGCTGTACCTGCCGAGAGAGCACACACGGCGCCCGTCACCCCGCGCCGGACCAAAGGCGGCACCCCGCAGCCCCCGGGCGCCCCGTTACCAGGTGGCCACGCCGTCCTTGGCCAGCACCAGCGGCTCTTTGCTGCGGCTCCGGCTGTTGTACGCCACCACGCCGCACGCTCGGCCCGCCGGCGGCACCCATTCCCTCCGCCGCGCCTCCCCGCTCCGCCGACGCCGCGCCACAACGCCACCGGCCCGGCACCGTCGGAACGCCGCGCCGAGCAGCATGGCCGCACCGAGGGGAGGGAGGAGGCGAGAGGAGACAGCGACGAACAGCCAACCGCGACAGCCGCGCTGCCCGTGCAGGGAGACACCCGGCGAGCTGGGTAGCTACAGCCGCGGCGCAGGAAGAGGAGGGGCCAGCGGCGCCGCGCCTCGCGGGGCGGTCCCGCTGCCGGCGTTCTTGGGTCCGAGCGCTGAGGGGAGGCTGGGCTTACGCCGCCCGGATCTGCTGTGGAAGTTCTGAACTGCGGAACCAGAGTGAATAAAAGTTCGATGGAACGCACGCGCGGTTGCTAGAAGTCTTTTTAAGCTACTGCTTGTTTTAATCGCGCAGGAACCGGGGAAACAAGGGAGAACTTTGCAACTGTATGCCGCATTTTGCCTGCCGCTCTCCAGCCCCTGAGCTGCTTCGGCTGCTGCCGCTTTCAGGAATCCTGGCGGTCTGTGCTGAATGTAGAAGCTGGTTACCCCACCTGCTGCAGCCCGCGGTGCTGCCTGCTGGAGCGTCCTGAAGGGCCCGCCAGGATGAACACGCTGGGCACTGGCTCTGGTGAGCTGCCTGCCTCACAGACGTCATGTCCTGTTGAATCTGTCGGGGACGGCTTTCGTGGGTGTTTCTCATATTTAACAACAGCATTCAGCTTTCCCGAGGAAACGGCACAGAGCTGTCAGAGGAGGGGCAGCTGGGAGTTAGAAGGTTCTGTACCAGAGGGCGGTGGGTAGGGAACAGAATGGCCAGGGCTGTGGGCACAGCCTTGAGCTGCTGGAATTCAAAGGGTGTATGGACACCTCTCTCACACGTGTGGTCTGATTGCTGGGTGGCCCTGAATGGAGCCAGGGGTTGGATTTGGTGATCCTTGTACATTCCTTACAACTCAGAGTACTCTATGATTTTTTTACTATTATCATAGTAATTTCTCTCTTCATACAGTCCGCCTGTACCTCACTTAGTCACACAGTATCAGATACAGAGCCCTACCACAGACAAATGGTTTCTCTCCTTAACATGCAGTTGCTTTCCATAATACTTCTCACTGAACAATCCTAACTTCTTGATCAAATAAGAAACCTATCCTACTGTTTTGCATCTTGGAGGATGAAGCTCAAAGGGACCTTGTAAACGTTTGCTTGGTACATTTCACAAGAAGCTTCAAAAGCCCCTTATTTCAGTTTCCATAGCAAGCTGGTTTAGACATCTTCATCGTTCAGCACGTCTTGTTAGGAGTTGTCATTAACTCCGTTGTGTGCTTTGTTCTGTACAGTCAGAGAGCCCAAATCAATACTAAATAACATGTGTTTCTCTGGCATGTGTTCACAGGAACACGTTGCTGGTATCTGTGGCCCTTCTAGAATGATTCTAGCCCAGAAACCTGGTAAGGAAACTGATCCTGAGAAGATAAGGGGGGGAAAAAGGCTGTGAAGACAAACTACCAACCATAGGGGAAGATGAGTTAAATCCACTGCAGTGGGCTGAGCTTCTTAGAGCTCTGTAGTAAACCACAGTCACCATCTCCCGAGAGTGTGTATGAGCTCAGCCGGAGGACAGATTGGTGTCTATCTGATGTTTCCAGCTGCTGAGGTACATCTCTGGAAATCATGGTGGGATTCTGGAGCTCCTTGATCCATGTTGTATCTGAATTTTCTTCTACCCTGGCCTTGCAGCGCAGTCACTGGTTGTAGTCAGAATTCGCAGGGCACCCTTCATGCAGTGCTGTTTGAGCTCACAAAGCGCAGCAGATGTGAATGGCAGCAGCCAGAAAACACACGTGAGGCAGTGAGACTGACAGTCCCAGGGCAAAGAGATGAGCAGCTGCATCCAGTGAAATACCTTTCTTCTTAAGCAGGGCTTAATCCTTGTTCTTCTATTACAATACTTTTTAAAGAACAAAAGGCCTGGGTTAGGTCAGTTCTTCCTGGAAAGCAGCAGAGAGACTGACTCAGTGACCCAGATGTTACAGTTCCATCAATTCCACACCACTTGTTGACAAAAGCAGATATCTCTCACAGACAGCACCTATTGGATGACAGTCTGAAGTGTGACTTTTCTGTTGGTCTTAATACTTGCAAAACTCAACCCTGCTCATCTCGCATGTTAAACTTCTGCTGTTTTGTTTCCAAACCTTCAGCTGTAAGCAAAAATAAGAGAGCTGTAAAATGCCATTTTAACCTCCAAGGTGAGTATGAATTCAGTCTCCTAAAAAAACGGACAAGATGAAACAACAAAAAACACCCATATGTAACTGTAGAAGAAAGGGATAAAGCTATTAAATGAAGAAAAAACAACAGTTCATCAGAAGGAATAACTCATCTGAATTGTCTGTGCCTATGAAGTATGATGACCAATGATCAGAAGACACTGTTTTCTAATAAAAAGGGACACAGCTGTAGCAATTGCACAGTATTTCATGCAGCAATACTCAATTAAAGTGGAGAAAAGAGGCAGAAGTCCTTACACATCCTCAATATCTACATTCATGTTTGAATGTTTGAGATTTTATGCTGCTTACATTAATAATTCAGAATGTTATGCTGATGATCTGGAGACAATTTCTGGAATATTCACGTTACATGAATCATATACACAAAGTATGTTACACAGTAGCTGTATGAGCTGTTGATCTGGTTACATGTTCCTCTGATTCTCATTGCAAAGAGCTCAGATCTTCAGCAAGGTCACAGCTCCAATTAACTTTCAAAAAACTTAAAATCGGGTTTCTAAATAGGAAAAGCCTTCGTACAATCAGAGCAGAGGAGCTTGGGAGCAGGAGCATTAGATACACCATCCTCCCATGAGGCACAGAAAATAGGAAGAACACAAAAGCCCACAACTCTCTTCCTTCTCTGACACATGGCAGTCATCCCCTATGCTTGTGCGTGCTCTGTCACTGTAAGGAGCATGCCTCTAATAAAGAAGAACTGAAACTCCACTCAAAGTCCTCCATCTCATCTTCCTACTTCAGCTCACATTGAAAAGGCCAATGTAAAACGTAGAGAAGGAACTGTGAAAGGAGTTACTAAACACTCCCAGAACTCAGCCCTACCCTTGCTGCAAGACTGGTGCAAAGCCCAGCAATGCTTTTTCTGTCACTCTTCTGGCCCACACCAAAGGGCAAATGGAAGAAGACTGAGCAAACAGCACCCCCGCAGCAGGTGACAGTTCTCCATCCTCAACGCATCCTCACCCATCTGCTTTTGAGCACGTCACTGAAGCTTGGCAGACCACAGCTACACTTGGAAGTTACACCTCCCTATAACAAGGGATAGAATTTCTTGTTTAACAAATTAACAGGTAACTTTTATGAACTGATTTCTTATTTGTAGCACAGCTAACAGTAGTGATTGTTAAAATCAAACGGCGATTTGTAGCTGAGTATCTGCTCTATCAAATAGCGTTATTGTGCTCTTTGCACCTGTAGTAGTTTCCATGGAAATAAACAGGAGACATTACTTTCAGAGCTACCTATGTCTAATTAGTCCCGTGTGTTTAGGATGGCTGTGGCCCTTCTTGTAAGAATGGCTCTCCTTGGGATTCACCTATATTTTTGTTAAACATCTGGTTTCTACCACGTTACAGCTAGCTATCTGCTCTAGTTCTTATGCTACCGGGGTCTGTTAACCACCTTTAATCGCTGACAGCAGCTCAGCTTCTTCAAGGCAAGAGCGACTGCCCAGGTGGAGCCAGCGATTCAGTTGTGGTGCCTGCAGGCTGCTGCTGCCACTGCACTCTCTCAATGCCGCTGTAACTCAGAACGCGCTGGCCCAGGAACGCCAGCTTGGAGCGCTGCCTGGATGCTGTAGTACACATAGTAACTTACGTAAAGAGCTCAGATGAGCAACGTCTGCTACAGCAAGCACAGCAATTCAAAGAAACAGAAAACCAGGGGAAGAACCAAGAACTTAAACGCATCTTCAGGAAACAAGAAGCTGCCCTGTGAAATAATAGAATCATAGTATGCTTGGGTCGGGAGGGACCTTAAAGACCACCCAGCTCCAACCTCTGCCGGGACAGGGCTGCCAGCAGGAAGGGGCACGCGGTCTGCAACCCTCACAGACCTCAGAAACACAATCCTTGGGCTCTATGCCGACGGCAGCCGGGCGCGGAGGCCCTTCCCGTGCCTCACACGATAGTCAGCAGAACGGCAGCGCCTAACGCACAACCGCACCAGCAGGTCCGGGCTTAGAAGCCATGAGTCAGTCCCCTCAATTAGGGGATTGCCGGTGACGTTTTAAGAAAATAAGACGGCGAGCGTTTGTTTTGCTTTGCGAGAGCCGGGTTAGTTTTTCCAGACCCTCCCCGCCCCTCCTAACAGAAACCGGAGATCTTCGAGCGACCGCGGGCACGCCGCGAGAGGAAATTCCAGGTAAACACGAGCACATTCCCCCCGAGCCGAGACGCAGCCGCCTCCCATCCATCCCTTCAGCGCCCGCCCGCCCGCAGCCCTCCTCCCGGCAGCGAGGCCGTCGTCCTGGCAACGGGCCGTGACCACTGAAATAAAAAGGAGATTAAAGCGCTCCGCAGCGGCGGTGACGTCGTCCCGCGGCACGCGCAGTGAGAAAAGCGCGTTGCGTTCTGTATTTAGCGAAGAGCGAGGCGCACAGCCCCGCGCCGCTGCATTTCACAGGGCGGGAGCGCTGAGGCGCAGCCCCTGCACCTCGGAGCCCCTCCCCGAAGGGGCGGCACCGGATGCGCGCGGCCACCCGCGGCTCTTTCGGCTGCCTCGGCCAGGGCGGGGACGCGTCGGGCGGGAGAGCGCTTCGCTCCCGGCTCTTTCCACCGCTTCAGCCAGCTAGGGCTGTGGAACACGGCAGCGGTACGCCAGCGCCTCAGCCCCAGGGAGGAGCAGAATACCGCCGCCTGTCACTGACACTTCTCTCGCCGCTGAGCCTGCCGAGAAACATAGTCTTGCCCTGCCCCGCCACAACGCGGCTCCATTTTCTACTCGCGCAGCGGACATTGCGCATGCGCACTCCGCCCCCCCCTTTTTTTTTTTTTCCCTTTTTTTTTTCCCCCTTCCTTCTTCCACACCCCTCGGCGCGTGTTCCCGCCCCTCCGGTATCCCGGGAGGGCGGTGTTGTCACCGCTGTGCCCTCCCTCCTGCTCGGCTCCGATTGGCCGAGCAGCCGCGGGGCGGGCCACGAGGGAGCGCGCGATTGGCCGGCGCGGCCGCGGGGGTGATCGATGCGCCCGCCCGCTGAGAGGCGGGAGGCCGCGCTGCCCTCCGCCGGGCCCGGCCCGGCCCTGCCCCCGGAGCGGGGTGGCGGCGCCGCGTGGTTCCCGGCGGCGAGCGGCCGGAGCCACTCCTCGGCTCTGTTCTCGCCGCCCGTGCCCCAAAGCACCCCGCTCCCCTTCAGGCCCCGCGCGCCCTCAGAGCCCAGGCGGAGCCGCTCTCCTCCGGGCACGACTTCTCCGGAGCCTCCGCCTCCCTCTCCCCGCGCCCACACCGCCTTCCTCCCCCCAAACGTGAGTAAGGGGCGGAGGAGGAGGAGGGACGAGGAGCGCGGGGCGGCGCCGAGCCCCGCCGCGGTTCCGGGCGGGGGAGGGGAGCGTGCGCGCGCGGTGTGTGCGCCCGCGTCCGTGTGTCCGTCCGTCCGTGTGTGTACACAGCGCGGGGAGGGCCGCGCATGCGCTGTTCGTGGCGGGGCTGAGTGTTTCCCAAGTGTTTGAAACTGGGATTCGGCTCCTCCACGTTGGATCGAGCACGGCGTGCGGCGGCGGGGAGGCTGCGTTCGGGCGGCGGAACGGGGGCCGGGCCGGGCCGGCTCTGACAGCGCCCGGCGGGGCACATTCTGCTGGCGGCTTGTTTCGGAGGGGCTGGCCCGAGCCCCCTCCCTCCTCCTCCTTCTCCTCCTCCCCCCCTCCCTCCGCACGCACAAATCCCGCTGATTGTTCCTACCACCTCCTCCGTGAGTTCCCCACCGCGACAGCCATTCAGTCAGCTGCTCGGGCTGTAGGGACCGGAGGGGGCTGCGAGCTCGGCTGTGCCTGGCAGCGGGCTCCCATGTAGCTGCCGGGGGAACGGGGCACGGACGGCGGCGGAGAGAGGCGTGGGGAAGGAGGAGGAGGGTTTTTTTTTTTCCCTTTTTTTTTTTTTTTTTTTTTTTTTTCCTCTCCTCTTTGCCGGATGAAAATGTTGAGTCCTGCAAACGGAGAGCAGCTGCACCTCGTGAACTACGTGGAGGATTATCTGGACTCCATCGAGTCTCTGCCCTTCGATCTGCAGAGAAATGTCTCCTTGATGAGGGAAATCGACGCCAAATACCAAGGTAAGCGCTCTCTCTGCGTGCGTGTGTGCGGTGCGGAGCTGGGGGAGGGCTGTCTCTGCCTTTCTTCTCCCCGCAGCCGGGGCTCGGCTGTTCGTGCCCCCCGCGCCGCGGGGATGGCAGCCGTGTGCCGGGGGGCCGAGCCGCAGCGCTGCCTCTTGTCACGGGGCGGAACAAAAGGTCCCCGGCTCCTCGTACGGAGCGAGGACTCCGCTTCGCCGTGCGAATCGCCGGCCGAGAAGGCGGGGGCAGGGAACGGGGCGTGCGGGGCACAAAGGGGGGCCCTCCGCCGCCGCGGGGCGTCGGGGGGAGGCTTCGGGGCTACGGAGGAAAGTGCCGCGCGGACGGCGAGGGAGAGATTACGGCACAACATAGAGGAATGTACAGTATTCATGATGGCTGGACTAGGGGAGAGAGGCTGGTCGTGGGGGGGCGGGCGGGAGAGAGCGGAGGGGGGTTAAGCAGAGCGGGGGGCAGGGTGTGCTTTCTTCGCTGCGCCCGGTGAGGCGGCCCCGCTGAGCGGGGCGGGGGGGGCTGAGACCGGCGGGTGCGGGGTGTGTTTGCGGGTGTTTGGGTGTGTGTGTGTTGGTACGGGGGGGGCCGGCCCCGCTCAGGGATGTGCTCAGCGCCGGGGTACCCCTCTCCTTCCCTTGGGGCACGCTGCGCCTCTGCCCCACGGGCGGAGGGAGGGCAGGGCCGGGTCGGGCCGGGCTGAGCTGGGGGTAGCTTTGTCACTCGCTCGCCGGTGTGCGTTCGGGAAGGGAAGGGGGAGGGGAGGCCGTAGCCGGCAGCGCTGACAGCCAGGGCGCGGGGTGGGGAGCACCCCACTCGCTCAGCCCTTGTGCCCCGCTGCTCGAGGCTCCCGGGAAGGCGGGGAGCGAGCCCTGCGGTGCTCGGTGGGCATATCGCCAGGCGGCCCCACGGGAGGGAAGGGGACGGGGGAAACTTCCGCGGGGGCTGGGCAGCGGGTGGGGAGACGGCAGTGGCGGGGCAAGGCGATCGGCGCGGTTGTGGCGCGCTCCGAAACCGTACGACCAGCGGGTGCCTCCGCGCTGTGGTGGGGATTTGGCGTCGGTGTGGCTTTTATAACCATCCCTCGTTAGCATAGCGCCGCTCGCCCCGCCCTCGGGCGTGCTGATTGGTGGGCGCCTTCCCCACGGGCCGTCCGCGGCTCGCCTCCTCTCCCTGATTTGGCCGCGGGGCGGGTCGTCCCGCCTTTCGCCCCGCCCCCGCGTGACGTTTCGAGAAGCAACTTTTCTGTGGCGTTGATTTGAATATCTCGACCTGCCCCGGCCTCTGGGCTGCCATTGGCTGCAGCGCCAGCAGCGGGCAGGCCAACCTTGGGCGTCCGGAGGCCGGCGGCGTCGCGGGAGGGGGGAAGCGGCTGGACCCGCCTCCTCCCGTTCGTGAGTGGCGCGGCAGCTCTGGAGGGGCGGGCGCGAGGTAGCTCCGCGCGCTGTGATTGGCTCTGTGCTTTTTTTACTCTTTGATTCTTCCGGCTTTCAATTGGGCGCGGGGCGACAGTAGGGGCGGGCTTTCCTCGTCGCCCTCTCTGATAGGTGGAATGGCGGGAGGGCCGCCTCCGCTCCTCTCCGGGCCCCTCCTACCCCGCTTCCTCTGCTCCGGCTGTTGTGCTGCGAACCGGGGAACCGCCGCCGGTTTCCTGCCGGAGAACAATAGCTGCTCCGTCACATCCGGGGCGCGGACGGCGCTGCCGTGCATCCCGGGGTGCCTCTGCGGCTCCGGCGCTGGGAACGGACGCGTTGGGGGAGCTGCAGCCGCTGGGAATTAGTGCTGCTTGGTTCCGCCGCTTGCAGAGTGCTGCACGTCCTGACTTGTTGAGCTCGGGAGGGGCGGAGCGTTAGCTGGAGTAGTGAGAGCTAAGCTCCTTGTTGGAGGTAGCTGGTAACAGCGTGAGATGCCGGTGCTAGTCATGCCGGTGACTAACAGGGCCGTATAAAGCCTGTGTGTGCTTCACGTGTCAGCATGTGTCTTCGGAATGGATTTCTTCAAGTGTCCAGGGGTGGCAAAACGGCAATGTCAGCGCAGAAATGGACAGCATCGAGATCTCTTAAACTAAAACACCACCCCCAACAACAACAAAACACTTTAGGAAATAATTCTATACAGCTTTAGCAAAGACGTTTGTGTATGGGTTGATAATTTCCACGCAGTGAGCTGGGGTGAGATTCCGTATTTGTGTGCATCTTGCTCATCTAAGCCACAATGGACTCACCTGGGAAAAAGGAAAGCTGTGAGCAGAACGATGACAGAGGTGTCTGTGAAGCCAAGTCCTCGTGAGTTAGGATGGCTGAGTGTGTGTGAGTACCACAGCAGAACTCCAAAAGCTCTGCTTAAAGCAAGTTTGTAGATATACCCTAGAAATTGTCACAATTATCTCCTAACTCTTGTCTCTTTTCTTACAGTAAATATTTAGTGAAAAATATGTTTCTGTGTTTAGAAAAGTAAGTTATGGGTGTTTTGCAGAATACACAGGGCTGAAACAACCTAGACTACTTGGTTATTGTAGTTGTTGTGTCATTATCAGCATCTAATTGGCCTCATATGCTCAGCAGTAACAGAGCAGTATTGGATGGCGCTTGCTGTAACTGAATGCCTTGCTCGGTGCATTTGGAGTTCTTCTGCATCAACTGTCAAGTGAGATAGCAATTATTAAGTAACTCGTGGGTTAACTTCTGTGCTGGTTTATGCTTTCTCTCTGTTCCACTCTCAGTCACTCGCTACAAACATATGTCATTATACAGAAAATGTCCTAGGAGGTATTGTGTTACCTCCCCCTTCAATTCAGCAGTTGATGTCAGAATTTTTGTTGCTATACTTTCTGTCATTATTATTATTTTCTTAAATTATTGATGAGCTTAAAGAAAAGAATTGTCAAAATGCACTAGGTTGTTTCATCTTTTTTTTCTTTTTTTCCTTAACTCGGCACTTGCATTCTCTTCCTGAGGGACCTACTGGACAAAAGCAGTCCAATGGAGTCATGAGTCCTTGGGCAGATTTCAGCTTCAGGGAATTCATCACTGATCACAGAATCACAGAATGGCCCAGGTTGGAAGGGACCTCAAGGATCATGAAGCTCCAGTCCCCCTGCCACATGCAGGGCCACCAACCTCCCCATTTAACCAGACTGCCCCGGGCCCCATCCAATCTGGTCTTGAACACCTCCAGGGACGGGGCATCCACAGCCTCTCTGGGCAGCCTGTTCCAGCACCTCACCACTCTCTCTGTAAAGAATTTCTCCATAGCATCCAACCTAAATCTTCCCTCCCTCAACTTGAAACCATTTCCCGTTGTCCTGCAGTTATCAGCCCTTTCAAAGAGTTGATTCCCCTCCTGTTTGTAGGCTCCCTTTAGGTACTGAAAGGCTGCAAGGAGGTCACCCTGCAGCCTTCTTTTCTCCAGGCTGAACAAGCCCAGCTCCCTCAGCCTGTCTTCGTAGGGGAGGTGCTCCAGTCCTCTGATCATCTTTGTGGCTCTCCTCTGGACCCTCTCCAGCAGCTCTCTGTCTTTCTTGTACTGAGGCTCCAGACCTGGACACAGTACTCCAGATGGGGCCTCACAAGAGCAGAGTAGAGAAGGACAATCACCTCCCTGTCTCTGCTGGCCACCCCTCTTCTGATGGAGCCCAGGATACCATTTGTTTTCCAAGCTGCAAGAGCACACTGCAGGCTCATGTTAAGTTTTTCATCCATCAGGACCCCTCAGGTCCTTCTCTGCAGGGCTGCTCTCAGCTGATCAGCTGTGTGTTTTAGAAATGGTGTTGCTGAATGGGAGGAAAAATACAAGAAGGCTTTGTTTCATCATATTCTTTATCTGAGATCCTTACTGGTTTTATTTTTTCTTTGCAGAGATTCTGAAGGACTTGGATGACTACTATGAAAAGTTCAAACGAGAAAATGACGCTGTGCAGAAGAGAAGAATGCTGCACTGCATTCAGAGGGCATTGATTCGGAGTCAGGAGCTGGGAGATGAGAAGATCCAAATCGTCAGTCAAATGGTAGAGCTGGTCGAGAACAGATCCAGGCAAGTGGACAGCCACGTGGAACTGTTTGAGACTTGCCAAGAGACTAATGACACCACTGGAAACAGTGGGAAAGCCAGCCAGGATAAGTCAAAGAATGAGACAATCGCTCAATCTGAGAAGCCCAACAACAAGAGGTCAAGGAGGCAAAGAAATAATGAGAATCGAGAAAATGCTTCAAATAATCATGACCACGATGACATCACTTCAGGAACTCCAAAGGAGAAGAAAGCAAAAACGTCCAAGAAGAAGAAACGATCCAAGGCTAAAGCGGAGCGGGAAGCTTCTCCCCCAGACCTTCCCATTGATCCTAACGAGCCAACATACTGCTTATGCAACCAAGTCTCTTATGGAGAAATGATAGGATGCGATAATGATGAGTGCCCCATTGAGTGGTTTCACTTTTCGTGTGTGGGACTCAATCACAAACCGAAGGGCAAGTGGTACTGCCCCAAATGTAGAGGAGAAAATGAGAAAACTATGGACAAGGCGTTGGAGAAATCAAAAAAAGAAAGGGCCTACAACAGGTAGTTTCTAGACTTTTCGTGGAAAAGAAAAAGAAAACCACCAAACCAGTGTATTTATTGTCAGTGTCACCTTTGTTGAGGTGAAAGGATTGTAAAATGTATATTTTTAAAGGAGGCTTAAAACTGAACCATTCCTGTTACAGGGACGGCAATAAAAGCAGTTTTGTTTTTCACTTGGTAAGCTGTAACAAGAATATGGTCTGTGGACCAATGTATTCCAAAAGTGAAGTTATAAGAGTTCAAACTAAATATCCAGGTGGGTCTTAAAAGATAAATGAATACATAACTTTTTTTTTTTTCTCCCAGTGCTTGTAGCACAGCAACCATTACAATGTTGACGGCGAATATTTCTGAAATGTAATTTCTTTTTCCGTATGGAAGAATGTTACTTAACATTTGAGCAGAATTGTTAAAATAGTTGAGCCCTCTGGTTGTATCTGAATAAAGCTGCAGTATATTACACATGTCATTTCTTTCGGTGATGAGCAGTGCAAGGTCAAACTGAAGGAGGGTACAATTTGGTTCCTGCTACGAAGTGCCAGTATAACAGTTCGACAGCAAACATTTTAATAGGCTTAGGGGATTATTGAAAAGAAAAGCCAGTGGTTCAATTTTACACGGCAGATATTTTATATTCTGGCCGAATACCACGAGAACAATTTTAAAATGATTGAATATGTTTTATATTTAACCAGGAAGTGGTTTAGTAATGACTTAACATAAATGAAGCTTTATACTGTCACCGATAGTAGTGTAGCAATCCTTAATTTGTTTAAGTTGTATAAATGTACATTTTTAAGTGGAATTGCACTTAATGTATTATACTTGGAAGTGCAGCCAAATGCCATTGTGTAACCAATGTGCATTTCCTGCTGTTATGTATGAAAATTGTACAGCTGTGATATTAAGAAATAAATGAAACAACTTTGACAGTTTGCTTCTTAGCAATCGTGTTTAACGATCATTTGAAGAGTTTATTAAAAAAAAAAGCATAATTTGTCTTTAACCTTCGCAGCTCCAGCAAAGCTGCTGCTAGGAAACCTGAAACTGTTGTAGTGGTAACCAAATTACAGTTCTGATAATCAATCCTTACAGACTAACAAGAGCATTGGAGAGTCAAAGCAGCGCTTAACCTTCTGCTCAGCTACTCTTTCTTGTGCTTGCAGTCGCTCCCAGACCTGGCCATTTATCTGAAAATCAATTGCACAGAGCTGGTCTTGCTCAGTTGTTTTCATGCCTTTACACGGTGGATGTAAATTATGCCATGCTTGTGTTATTGGCAGAAAGTTCTTTTGCATTACAGCGTTTTCAGAATAGCGTTGCAGCTGCGCCAGAGAAGGTGTTTTTATTTCTCACGTTCACGTCCCGTGAAAATCCATCAGCTGTAATAAAGGTGCGACGCTGTGGGATGGGTGCCCTGGTCTGTGCCGCAGCTTTGCTGTCACGCCGCTTCCTCTGCAGGATCTCGGCTCTTCGTCCCCCTGCGGGCCTTGGCTGTAAGTGCAGAAGGGGCCGACGGTGGAAAGGCAGCGGCAGCAAAACGCGGACAGAGAGGCTGCGACATCTACCGGGTCAGAATGCAGCTGTGTAAGAGTGTGAGAGACTGGGGTTGGCATTTTGGGAACACGGTGATTTCTTAAAATCCGTAATTGTTTTGCTTCCTGGATGTTGAGACCATAATGCTAAAGTAATGGTTTTTTTTCCCTTATGTACTTGAGCTGAGCTTCCTATTGGAAGCAGGAGAAAGAGTTTTGGATGCAGGCAGACATAAAGCATTCGATGAGGCCGAGTGTTTTCTGAAGATGTTCAGGAAAGGTACCACCATGAGAGGTTCATCTCATGGATACTCCCCAGCTGGCAGGCAGACTCGCAGTGATGAGCAGAAGTTATGTTGTATTTCTCACTAGGTACACTAGGGGTGTGTGCACACATACGTGGTTCAGGACACTACAGGCCCTCAGACCCAGCCACCTTTGCACTGATCAAACGACCACTCAGCCCATCTCCTGTTTCCAATGCACTTTACGATTGCTGTTATCTGCTGATAACCTTCTCATTTTCCATCTACACGACTGACCTTATTAAAGGCTGCATTCATAGAACCATAATAATAGAATCATAGAACGGCCTGGGTTGAAAAGGACCATGATGATCATCCAGTTTCAACCCCCCTGCTATGTGCAGAGTCCAACCCCCAGACCAGGCTGCCCAGAGCCATCCAGCCTGGCCTTGAATGCCTCCAGAGATGGGGCATCCACAACCTTGATCGTGATAGCTGACAGGACCCACGCTGTACCATTTGGAGGTCTGGTTTCAATCTGTGAGCACAGTTCCTTACTGTAGTTTAATTCAGGGGCTGCTCTCAGTGAGCATTTCTCACTGTGACTGCCAGCAGAAGGCTCAAATAGGAGGGACACTCGCTTCTAGGAACTGAGCTGAGGCTTCTGCCTCAGCTACCAGTATTACAGCATTCATTTCTAATATATAAAATACAGCAGCTGTTTGTTGAAGGAGAAGTCATAGCAATAGGAATCCTAAACTTTTTGAACTTCTTGCTGAAAGCATTCATGCAGCTGTACCCACTGCTGCTCTGGATAGATGTCTCAGGGAAGCCCAGATAGTGTTACTGAACATTTGAGCTGGTGATAAAATCCTTCTGACTAATGAAAATCCCAACTTCAACACTTCAGCAGAGGGAGATGGCAGCAGACCTCACACTTGAGTTGTCTCCATCCTCGAGGAGCAGATTTGTTCTGCGGGAGGGCTGGTGCTGAAGGCACAGCTGGAAGGTGAAGGCAGGCAGCAAGGGTGCACTTCATGCACAGTGCCAGCTGCAGAATGCTCCTAGTGGGACAGATATAGACTCCGTCAGGCTGAAACATGAGGCAGAGCAACGTGTCACTTCCAACCGTTCTGTCACCTGAAAGCCTCCCAGTTAAGCACTGTCTCCATTAAGCAGCACCAACCCTGGCCGTGCATATCATTAGGTTTAAATAGGTTTCTTACTGATTGAGCACAGCTGCTTATTAACTGTGTCTTCATACAGAATGAATACAATTGAATTGGACTGCTCCACTAGTCTAACTTTTCATAGAGTATTTTTACTTAATCTTTTAGAATTGTCAAAATATTGTGAATGGTTTGTGATATGAGAAAGTTCACAGTAGCAGGAGTGTTTCAAAGCAAATGTGATTATTACTGGGATCCATTCTGTTGCTTGAGTTAGACTTAGAAACGTAGACTCATAGAATGGCCTGGGTTGAAAAGGACCTCAAAGATGATCAAGTTTCAACCCCCCTGCTGTGTGCATGGTCACCAGTCACTAGACCAAGCTGCCCAGAGCCACATCCAGCCTACATACAGGACACTTACTTGCTTCATAGCCTATTCAGTCTCTAGAAATAATGCTCCTTGTGCTGGCCATGGTCCAAAAGAGTTAAGAATTTCCTGCACTCAGCGCAACATGGAAACAAAGTGAGCTCATAGCACTACACATGGCTTCTTAGTTTATTTTCCCAGGTACTACTGAAGTCCTAGATCTAGCAAGCAAAAGGAATGGCACAATAGAGACGAAGCATCTCTGTGAAGTGCTGAGAGGCAGGTCTGAGGTTTTCTCATCAGCTCAGAGTGGCTAGATTTCCTGGTAAGCGTTCATTGGTGGTGGTATTCAAAAAGAGCTGACAAGCCCATTGGAACCAGAGGAGCTGGATCAGCGGCCAGAGCAGGAGGGCTTCTGCTTTTTGGTGGGTGTCACGTTGCTCCTTCAGCCCATGACCATGGTCACCCTATAGGCAGCTTTACAGGCCTTACCGAAGCACTGCTGGAAGAGATGTTGCTTTTAATTTTCAACAACTGACTTTAATAATTCAGCCTTCATATGCTGCCATCAGCTGGGGCAGAAGGCTTGCAGGAGACCCGTGGAGCTGCAGGAGATGCAGATACCGCTGGCTTCATACTGGTGAGATGCTCTCCACAGGGGTGCTGGACGAGCTGGGCCTGAACCTCCGCTCTTCACTTCTGCTTTGGGAAAGGGATTATGATACAAAGACAGCAGCATTTGGCTGGTAGGGCCCAAATAACACATCTAGGGGCTGCTAACTCAGCAGATGTAAACACATATATATGCTTAAAATAAACTTGGATCTTTCAAGTGTAGAACTTGGTGGAGACAGATGGAGTCATCTCTTGCGCTCTCACTTTGTGGGAGAATTAATGCAGTTTCACTGACTGTTGTCCCTCCAGTGCTATACATCCTGCACTCCACATCATACACTTTACTGATTCAATTTTTTTTTTTCCAAAATAAAAATCAAACTTGCAAAAAAATAAAATAAAATAAAAAAAAATCTCCATCTACCCTTGGAGATAAGGGTGAGAAACCCAAGGGAACTGTGTGTAAGTGATTTACCTGCGTATGGGAAAGAATGTTCTGCTGTGTTAATTATTAGATGTACATCAGGGGACTTTCTCCTTCTGCTGGCCTCCACCCTCCTTGAGATTTGCATGGTCTCATCTGAAATAAAATGCTCTGTTCTCATAATAACTTCCTCAGTCTTATAACTGTGGGAGCAGACAATTTATTGAGAGCCGTATCAGTGAAAGATGAGTTGTTAGGTGCATGTTCCGCAAGGTGATTTTATTCAACATCTAAAAGATAATGAGTAACTGTTTCAGAAAGGTCCCCTGAGTTCTAATGCTTTGGTTTGTAGGTGCCCCCCAAGGACATGGCCATTGGAAGGAAATGAATGTAGCACACCTTGAACTTTAATCCATTCTAATCTATGGTCACAATTACTTAAAAACTTTGATCACAGTGATATCATTTTTGGCATACTGTCACTACAGGACAGAAATTTGATTGCTTAGATGCAGAGATTTCCACGCTCTATCAGGATTTGATTTATTTTGTAATTTGTCTCAGCTTTTTATCTGCTGAACCTCTTTTGCTTGGACTCCAGACAGCTTCAAGAAAGCAAAAGCAGTATATTTTAAACTGGAGTTACTGATACTACTCTCAGTCTTTGTCACACGTACTCAAACACGTTTATATATCTTGAGATACAGAAGATGTCATGAGAACTCTGTTGTGCTGAGCCTTGGGAATCAACGCAAAGAAACCTTTACCAAGGGAAGAGAGGGCCTTGTGAGGGGTGGAAGATGGAGCACAACAGCAAAGTAAACAGCTGGACTTATGTATTAGAAGTAATCCTTTCTGGGCCATAAAATACTTAAAGAAGTTACAGCTAAATAGGTTCAAAAGAAACAGAACATCACATTTCCTGAAAAGATAAATACAAAATACATGAGACTTCTGCACTTCTGGTTTTGATGAAAGGTCTGGAGGCTATTATCAGCAGAGACAGCAGCAACACCCTGTAAAACCAGAACTATGGCATGCCGTGCAGGACTGTGTTGAAGAACTGCTACAGGTGGATTGCCAAGGTGTCATATCACCTACAG